CCACAGAGCTTCTTGATGCTTATTTAATATTTTCTCTGGTGGTAATCCTGACTCGTGCGTGCAGGAGTGGGATTGTTCCAGCAGTTTTCTTCCTGCTGAATCAATAATTGATACCTTTTCATGAGACTTTTCCCATTTTTCTACTGGCAAAGCTCGTTAGGGATTCGCAGCCGAGTTGAGCGTTCCCCCCCGTCGGTGTTTCTGGCAGTACATCCTCCCTCGCCATTCACCCGTAGCCAGACAAACACAGAGCACCTCCAAAGATCACCCAGGGTGGGAACCGACTAAGGGCAGGATTTTTCAAAAGCCTTCAACTTCAAATTACTTCTGCCTCTGCCGAAGTTAAAAAGAAAGCTGTCTCGGATCAGAGGACAGTCGGAAATCCCTCCCGGGCTGCGAGGACGCAGCCGGAGTGCTAAGCCGGACAGCGGGGTGGGTGTAAGGTGGGGGCAGTGGTGGCCCCCCACCAGCATGGCCAGGGCTGCGGGAGGCTTTGCTGGTTCTACGGGGAAGGCTGGGGGTAAGAGCAGCGCCGCAGCCGCGCAGCAGCCCTGCTCGAGCGAATCTGATAACCTCGCAGAAAGGCAATCCTGTGCCAGGCTGAAGAGATTTCAAGTGCCAGGAAGATACCCAAAAAGAGCCAGGAGAGGTTGATTTTTTTTAAACTCAGCTGCTGCTGCTGCTGCAGTGCTTTAAAATCAGAAGCGATTTCCCCACAGTTGGACTTGGCTGATATTTTGTCAGCTAGAGGATGCGTGTTGCAGAGCCCTGTGAGCCTGCTCACGTCCGCTGTGCTACAGTTACAGTACATAGGTGCAGAGATGAGAAGAATAACCTTCAGGCTGTAAGGAACTATTTTTAGCACGAAGCCGTAGCTGTACTTTGGGAGAAGATGTATAAATGAGAGTAACCCTGGCAGGTGGCTGATGAGAACGATGCTGGTCAGTAGATTTCTTCTGGCACTCTGGTTTAACGGTGATAAGCACAGAATTGGACCTGGGATACCGTTTGGCTACCTCGGGAAGGATTGCTGGAAATGGATAAATACAGCTTTATAGGTCGTCTTCTAAGCTCGCTTTCCTGCAGTTTTGAGCTCCGCTGTTCAGCAACACAACAGATGCTTTGCCCCATTTCTAGAAGCGCTGCTTGTATCGTGACTGAAGTCCCAGCGCCGCTTTCCTTGCAGGGATTCACCTTACGTCGGCTCCTCTGGTGCTGCTTTCCCACCGCTTTTGCAGCGAGCAGACAGCCCTCGGAAAGACGCAAGCTGTAGGGAGCAGAATGTCTTGCTCTGCTCTCCCTTTTCAAGTCAGAAAATGACTGCATGCCTATCCCCATGCGGGAACTGGGGTGGATATCTCTAGATCAAACACCCGGAGCTTATTTCCACTTTGGAGTGACAGGCTGCCTTAGGCGATGCTATGTGGGCTGCAACGCTTTGCAGTCCAGGTGTAACGGCGTTGGAGGAGGCAGGAGAGGCCACGCATACACCACCATGTTTAGAGCCACAGTTAACGGCGGGCTTGCCATGAATGAACAGTTAAACTGCAAATACGATGAAAAATACATATGTTCCCATGTGCTTTTCTTATTCATCAGGCAGCAAAAATCAATAGGAAATTCTACTAAATACTTGATTTTTTAGTATGATACAATATACTACATAACTACATTGTTTTGCTTTTTTTAAAATAAAAAAATCAAGTCGCGTTGGTTTTCGGGTAGACTAAAATCTAGATATTAAGTATGAGAAAGCTTGATGATGAGCGGTGTAATTGCACTGGTGTGTGCTCACGGTGGATTCGCCAGCTCCCTTTGTCATGTTTCTGGCACAGCTGTTGTTGCTGTTAATGAGGAAAAAGGCAAAGGTGTAGAAACAGTGTGAAAGAACACTAGAAAAAGCACCACCCCCCCCCAAAAAAAGCTCAGATAACAACTCAGGCTCATGTTACTGAGGAGAAAGGAGCAGTCAAAGATCATGAGAGTACGGAGAAAGAATAAGGCTAGAAAGGCATCGTGGCAAGGACATGTTGAAATAACCTGGTCGAGTAAGAAAATGAGATTACTCGAGTGATCAGACAGAAACGTTGGTATCTTTGCTGAATTTCTTTTGCTACAAAATATTTGCTGAAATGCGCAAGTTCTTCATATACTATCGTCTCAATTTACCTGAGTGCACTTCAGAAGAACCTATCCTTTCCCGACAATGATTTTGATCTTACATTCTCCTTTACCATCCTTTAAAAAGGGTAACCTGAGCCTTTGGGGATAAAGAGCGATCAGAGCAAGCCTGCCAGCCGGTTTGGTTCCTTTTCCCAGGAGGTGTCTCTGCTTCTCCAACAGAAGAGTTAGACATCTTTATGCTTTTATCCTCGCGCCACACGCAGCTCGGCAGCACGCAGTGCCTTGCTGCTGCCATGGCACCACGTTGTATCTTAGCCCAAAAGTTAAGGGGGAAGAACCCCAAACCCCTGTTTCAAAGCATTAGCAAGTTTCTAAGTGTTTGCTCTTTCTTTACTTTTGACCCCGACTCGTTCAGGAAAATCAGAGGAGAGACTGGCCATGAGAGAAGAGCTTCCCATGAGTGTGGTGAAGGTTGTTTTGATGACTCTTGCTTTGGCGGGCTGGCAGAGGGGGGATTTCGTTTCTCTTAGAGGTGCTTGGGGGAAAACCCCCCACATGCTGCCTAGAGAAGGGGGGGGCTGAGGAGCAGCATCCTCCTCTGCCACTGGGCATCTCACCTTTCTTCTTCTCCTGACAGCAGCTTTGTCCCCACTCGGGTGCACGTCTGCAGCAGCGGATGCTGTACTCGTTTAGGGAGGACGCTTAAGCGCTTTGTCACCCCACAGACAGTCCCCTCGTTACAGAGAAGCTCTCCATTAACAAGCACCAGATTTCCTTGACAGGTTTTGCCGAGCGTGGCCCTAAAACTCCTGCGTCCGAGTGTTTTGTCATCTGCTCGTTCTTCCAAGGGATGCGTTATCAGATGGTGAACAATTGGCAGCATCAATTTAAAGATAGGAAGAATCTGTCGGGGAATTACCATACGCCTTACTTTTTGTTGTGTGATTAAGGTATTCTAGTTCATAAATATCAAAACCGTCAGTCAGTGTCTGTGCTCTGGGGCTTCTGAGAGCGTGTGCAGCCAGACTCTGGCGTGAGCTGCTGCTGAAGTGCCTATTTTTGCCACTGGGAACAGATCAGGCAGAGTGGTATATATGTATGTACTCCAGATGTCAGCAGTTTATTTACTTAAACTTCTGTGTGAGCTGCTTAAAATTTCTCTGACAGCAGGGTATTACAGGACACGGGACAGAGTTGGGATCAAGGTAGGAGTTGCTGTGGCAGGGTAAAACATTGGCTGCCATAACTTGATCATAAAGCAATGGATGTTTAATTGATGGTGGAAACATGAGAGGTCTTTTAGCTACACTGTGACTAGCAACATCATTAGCAGCCTTTCGGCGGTGGGGTTTTACGTGTATTTTGGTTATGTGGCTGGGATGGAGGAGGGAGTTTCTGTGTACTATCAGAGTAGAGGGTGAAGACAGGCAATTACTGCTACCTGCCTGCTTACTGATCCTTTTTTAAAAAGTGCCCTTACCCTCAGCTTCCGCACGCGTAGTTGTGTTGCTGTTGTACAAATTGTGGAAATTGATTAAGGGTAGATATGATTGTTCTTCAAAGAAATAGTTGGGTTTGAGATATAAATATGTATACACACACAAAACACACACAACCCCCCCCTTGCTTGGTATTCATACCTGGGCTAGCAGAGTGCTAGGAGCCTCGTCAGGAGGGGAACAATTAACACAGAGCCCGCACCGTGAGCGTCTGGAGGGGTTTCCCTCTGCCACCCAGCCCTTCCTGGCTCAGGACCCATGCGGAGGCCGGCTGTGCCGCTCGTAACCTTCCTCTTCCTCATCGCCCCCCACGTCAACCTTGGCTTCTCGGTGCTTTTATTTTCCTCGGAAACCCTCTCTGGTTTCTGTCTTCTTCATGGATGTCGCGTCTCACTTCGCTTCTTCCCAAGGCTTTCTTTTCCTTCGGATCTTGGGGAGGTGAGGGATGTAGTAGCCATCCAGGATTCATTCTGTAGAAGCATCGAGAAGGGGGTTTCTCCTGGACAGAAGGTCTCTGATGATGGCAGACGTTCCTCTGTCCCCCTTCGGCCGTGCCCTGGTCCATGCTCCGAGGACCGCAGCCTGCCGGAGGGCTCGAGCAGTGATGGTGGGAAGCAGTAACGAGCCAGCCTCTCACCTAGACACTTACCGAGACCATTAACGTCGTTTCAAAACCAAGACGCCTGCTGCTTTTGCCCAGTGACTCCTCCTGTGCTGGCCTGCACCGGCAACGGGAACAATGGCTGCAGGTAACCTCAAGCAAATTCTAGATTAAGGGGGAAGCCGCAGGCTAGGAAACGCGCTCCTAAAAGCCTGCGCTAAGCTTTGCCGTTCCCTTGGAACTTGAAAAGACGCGTCCACGGCGAAAGGCAGCTGCCCAGCTCCTGGTGCCTGTCCTTCAGGGTTAGTTTTCCTCAGGCCAGTTGTTTCTGTAGCAGCGGCTGCAGAACGCGGAGTTGCGCTTTCACTCGTAGAAGATGCCCGACCTTCCCCGTGGCACGGATGGCCGGGCAGCGAGGTGGTGCGGCGCTTTTTCCTGAAACCCTGCCCACATCGACTTGTCCTCCTCAGCGCTATGCACCTTTTTCTCCCCAAAATAATACCACCTCAGGTCTGTAAACAGAAACAGAAGCCTCCAAGAGGCGTAATCTTCTCGGCGTCGCCTTGGCTCCCAGCACCGATGTCAGCGTTGCTCTTCTGGGGCTGATCTTAGCGTTTCTATCTCAGTAGACTCTGTGGGGATGGTACATATTGGCCAAAGATATATTCTGACCCAGGAGGAAACGTGGGTGAAAACTGGGTAAATTTTCTTGCACGTTCCTGTTTGCTTGCCTAACGAGACTTAATTTTCTTTTCCTTCCTCTTTGACTGATGCAGCTGAAGAATAAATTCATGAAGAAATTGCCCCGTGATGCTGAGGCTTCCAACGTGCTGGTGGGAGAGGTAGATTTCCTGGAGAGCCCTTTCATTGCCTTCGTCCGGCTGCAGCAGGCAGTCATGCTGGGTGCTCTGACTGAAGTCCCCGTACCTACCCGGTAAGAGAATTCAGCCCCCAGGCAGGGGACGAGAATTGGAAGCTGCTTTTCCACCTTTTAAAATAAAAACACCAGGCCAGAAGACAGCATTCTCCGTTGCTTTCCAGCATGTGACGTGCGTAACGGTCAGGGTTATTGGTTTAAAGTAGCAAAACTCACTGTAGCTGCTTAATAATTTTCAGGTCCTGAATTTGGTTATAAGATACAAGCTGTAAAATACACAAGCGTTGCACGAACAGGATAACTGAACAGCTTAGCAGTAAAGGGCACTATCAATGCGAAATTTAACTACTGGGGTTTTTTTCCTGCCCCTTATGATTCCCCCCCCGACCAAGACACGCTGTACGTAGCTCAGATTCCCTCTGTATGTTTTTGCAGTACATATTTTTCCTCTAAAAAACTCGTATTACATGAATTCTGGCCTTGCCGGGGCAAAAAAAAAATAGTCAGGTAAACTGGGGCATACAATTCTATCAGGGGTAGTGACACTGTTTGTTGCTTTGTAATGCATAATGGTTCAGAGACAAACGTCATATAAATATTTTATTTATTGTGAGTCATGTTGCAAATTAATCTGAGTCTTGCAGATATGAATGTATTTTATGTTCTTAAATATTTGAATTCACTGCTTGAATATGCATAACTGTCTGTAGAGCGAGTGTATAAATCTACCAGAATAACACAGCTAAGGTCCTGTTTGAATTCTTAACAGTATTACCCTTAATTATATAATTGCATGTTGTTTATCATGTAACAGAGTAGAGAAAAATTGCCAGTATAGACGTCCAGAACATCTGCTGTATGTGAGCATTATGTAGTAGTATATCTTTGCTTCATATATACACACAAGCACCCCACCGAGGTAAGAACCGTAAAAATGATGAGTATTAAAAGGTAATGAAGCGCAGTAAGAACGGAGCGCAGCAGAATTTGGGTGAGAAGGACGAGCGAGACTGCAGGTGGACAGCCTGCAGCTGGGTTGCAATATCCCATTTCAGCTCAGCACCGCGCTCTGCGGTGCCTTGCTCCTCGGCACTGCTGGGCTCTGGGCTGCTCCTGCTATCACCTTGCAAAGGGTTTACTTTGCGTTTTGCTTGTGATTACGGAGTTCACATTGCAGCTTTCGCACCGCTAATGTGCAAATACATATTTTATGTGATGGGTTTCAAGGGCTTTCAATACAGAGTGAAGGTTGTGATTTGAATAATGCCTGCAGGGTTTGAGGCGATATCGGGGAGTATTTTGTGAGAAGAGACGTAGTACTGTGACAAAAGCACATGGCTAGTGCGTTACTGATACGGGAATCAATCACAGCCATTGCGTGGAATTAAAGTTATATGGTTGTTGCAATCTGTACCTTATTTCCATGTACCAAACAAAGGAGAAAGATGATCTAGTTTTGCTGTTTAATTGCCTTGTAGTAATGCAGCAGTGTTTGTATTTCTTGGGAGTTTCATTAAGTGGCTCCTTAAAATGACCACATCAACAACTGTTTGCACACGCTGGGTATTCTGGTAGGAGTATGGGGAGATATAAGGGTCTTAATCTCAGAAAAGGCTGTTCTGCATTCCTTAGCATTAGTGAGCTCCATGTACTTCAGTATTTCAGCTTCGAAGTCTAATCCCGCTTGCTCTTTTTTTTAAACACATCTCCGAATGCTTTTCAGCAGATGTGAAATCAGGTATTGTTTGTTTTGGTAGTGGGAGCCAGGAAGTTACATCTAGGATTGCTGAACGACCTCATTACTCAATAGCATTAATCAAGACAATACGTCCTTCCGTGCCAACATTTTTTTCCAGGAAATAGTATTATCCATTTGCTGTCCTCTGAACCAAATGCTAGCCCTAATCAAAGCAGGGAGGCTCATTAGATGGCCTTCCTGAGTAATGAAGAGCCATTTGCCATGGCTGCATCCTGTGAAATTCAATCAAGGAAATCCCATCAGGGCTCAGACGAGCTGCGGTGGGGCGTCTCCTCGGTCAGCCCCGAGTCTCGGCAGTCTCGCGCGGAGGACGTTCGTCTTGTGGATGTGCACTGAACAGCCCGCAGACTCTATCAGGTTCCTGGTAAAATCGTCAAACCCACGCCAGCAAAGCCAGGCAGTGCAAAACCACCTGGGTTTTCTAAATAAACAGCAAACGTTTCAGCGCTGTGGGTTGCTGCAGGAGTATGGTGACCCAGGTCTATCGAGTAACTGCAGCGTGACCCATGTCTGTCTCTCTCTTTAGAAAGCAGCAGGTTCTTTTTATCTGGGGCAGGTGGGGGTTAAACACCCAGGTTTCGGCACAGGGCTGTGGGCGTGCTGACCTGTAATGCAGAAGGGAGGTGGTCTTCGCGTGGCCATCTATTCCTGCGGTGACAGGCACTTTCCTTTACTTAAAAGTAAATTTTTACTTAAAAGAAATCAGCGGGAACTGAGGAACTCTCCAGGGAAAGTCTCTCAGCGGAGTGTTTTCATACAGCCCTAGTAATAAAAATCAGGGATCTGAAATCGGCATAGAGAGATCCCAGCCTTTCACTGTGTTGAGTTTTCTTTTTACCAATCAGGTTGAAAAAAACTGTAAGGACTTTGGTCTTCTCATGTTGAATTTAATCCCACAGTGCTGTGAACTCCTCATTTTGGCAAGCACTTAGCTACTGTCCTGGCACCATGGCTTGGGTATGGCTGTTTCTGTCCTGGACAATGCAATAGATGTAGCTTTTTATTTTCATAAAAGAAATGTGCAGTCGTGTTCAGGTCTGCTGCGTTAATGTAACATCAATGGGTAAAAAAGATGAAGAATGAGCAAGGGAAAGATTTTTTGGGGAGATAAGCTGTACAGACTTGCATAGTCTAATATGTGGTGCTGAGAAATTGCCTGTGCCTACAAGTCTCAAATGAAATGAAGTAACTTGCCCAAAGGTCACTTAGGAAGCATGTGGCAGAACCAGGAGTCAGATTCTCCTCCTTTGCCTCCTAACTTAAGCTTTTAACTGCAGAGGCATCTTTTCTTCTTTGTAGGTGAGGGTGAGGTGTGTGTCCTGTTCACTAATTACAGCACTGGCATAGTTTTCAGGGCTGTGTCCTTTATAGCAGCCTTTCCAGCAGAAGGACTTGCTCTGGGAAATCGCAGCGCTGGCAGAAAAGGCCTACCTTTGTCTATCTGCTTTCACGTGTTGGTCATCAGGTGAGAAGCCTGCAATGTTGGTACGTTGCCCAAAACTTGAAGGATCACCTCTGCAAAATAGAAGACGGACCAAACACTCCACCATCTCCTTTCGTTACTGCAGTCTCAAGTTGTGCTCCTTCCGTCAGCGGATTCCACTGGAAAAGTGCATCAAGAGGTTGTTCTTTCAGCCCTCAAGCCCATCAACGTGTATCTCCGCTGGGAATGCTGGTGCCTTGCAGGCATCTCACGTGGTGTCCAACAACAGAAGGACTGCTTCCCCTCAGCCCTCTCAAAAACAGAAACATTTTCTCCAAGACCTTACTGAGTTTCCTCTGTGTAGGTGCCTTTAACCCTTTCGGAGCTGCTGCTCTTGCTTGCTCCAGATTTGAGAGATAGGCACGGATGAGCAGGCTGAACTTGAATCTTGTTTTAGTTGCTCTTCCTCCTCTTTCTTTTTTTTATTTCGGGGGCGGGCAGACAGGACATAGGACATGGGATGACCTTGTCTCCTCCACTGATGGTCAGCTGGCAAAGAGACGACAGTGAGGCTTGGTCCTGGGACAGTTTTCACGACGACCCTTACCCCGTATGGGAAATCGATAGTCATGGACATTAGGGATTTCTTGCAGGATGCCCCAAATGGATGGGAAAATATTAGTGCTGCACTGACTTTGGAGCCTGTCTGTGTTGTATTCACTCTGTACCTCCTAAGTGTGCTTTTCGTTTGATTTCATGGAGATTTCTAGCCAAATTTCTCAGAAGCACAGCACATAAAGCCTTGTTGCCTCCTTGGGCAAACTAGATTGAAATTCTGCCCCGCAGTCTTTGCCGTCACCTCCCTCCAAGGTCCAGGAGGGTTGTGTTCGCTCATAGGAGGTTGTTAGGTCCATAACACCAGGTTACTGCGCTTGTACAGAGTGCTGCTGTGCCGCTGCGTTTAGGTCTTCGAGGTGCATTGGCTGGGTTTACGATGCATTGGCCAGGGCACTTTTGTCCATTTCGAATTGGAATTATTCAGCTGTGAGAATGAATTGATTCTTGTTGGGTTTGGTGGCGTAGTCCATATGATTAAAAGGGGAATCATACATAGCCGGTGGTCATCGTCTGCTTAAGAAGGGTAAAGCATGCAAAAATGACAGGAGGAATAGTGCTTTAGGTAAAACAGGAAAATTAATTACTGAGTTTCTGGCTCATCATCAGCTTGGAAGCAAAGGATTTTGAGCGCTTTGACTGTGCTGCCATACAAAGTTCAAAACCAAGGTACCCTGGGTGCGAGGACTGTCAGCCCTGTCTGTAAGCTGTTGCCCAGAGCATTTGGGAGAAACGTTGAATTTTGTTAGCTACTTCAGAGAGACTTTTTGCTAAGGGATATGAGGTGAAACCTCACATTCTGTGCCTTGAAGCGTCCTTAGCAATGTTAAGTATCAGAAGCGGACATTTGATAACTCAGCATGTGTTGTGTGCAGCAAAGAGGAATTCTGTGCTGGCTTTCACCTTGGCAGATGACGAGAAGGGACTATGTCACAACTAGAAATGAGGGCTTTCTTAGGTGGAAGTATTCATAACTAAATGATTCTAAATGCATGCAAACATAATCTAGTCCAAAAACCTAAAATGCATTAATGTTTTTGTGTTCATAATATTTGGCCCTTTAAAAGGTCTCGCTCTACATACTGAAGGCAATTCTGAGCTGAATCAGTCAGGACAAAGAATTTAGCAAGTGTCACAAACTGCTTGTTTTCAAGAACATTTTAGTAAATGCAAGAGCATTCGAGTACTTCTGTTATGCATTGGAAGAGAGCCAGCTGATGTTATTATTTCAGGAGATGATTATGAAAATGTCTCTTTCCCTGGAAAATCAGGAGAATGCCGAGCAGCAACTTCTGAAGTTACGAACCTTTTTTAAAAAATTAATATATTTGGATAATTGGCATCCTAGAGTTTTAAAAGAGTTGGCTGAGGAACAGTTTGTCTTTAATGTTGTTTTTTAAAAACCCGTGAAACACAGGGAAAGTTCCAGGAGGTAGGAGGAGAGCAGAGGACATGACCTAGGCGTATATGGCTTAGTCACCTCCGTGTGAACCTTAAGTAAAACAGTTGAAAGCCTCATGAAGAACTTGATTAGGAAGTGTTACTGTTAGTAATGCCAATTAATACGCATTTATGGATCCTGTCCTACTAACTTAATGCCTTTTTTTTTAATAGGACTGTAGATTTTTCAAATAGAAAGTACTTGTTTGGATATAATACACCTTGTAAGACATTTGACTTGGGACCTCATGTTGTTTTGATTTAGGAAGCTAAAATGATACTTAATACAATGCTTGTAAGGGGAGAAGTACTTCTGGTGAGGTGTCACACCTCTCAACCCTGTTGTGTTTCACGTTTTATCAGCAGCTTTGGAGAAAACGTAGAGTTAACTTAGTAAAGGTTGACAAATAACAAAAAGGGTGTCTCCATGGCCCAGAGCAGTCCGGTCATCTGTGCTTTACCTTGGCCCCGTGTCGGCTTCTCGCTCTCGGGAGGGAGAGCGCGGGTGGAAGAGCTGTGCTCCAAGTGCCAGTTTTCGCTGCGTGATGCTGTAGGTAAAGGGCTGGGGCCATCCCTGGGTATAGCAGATTATTCTGTCAGTGCTGGAACCGCTGAAACCAGGAGTCCTGGAAGTATGTGCCATGTCCTTTCCCTCCCCACGGCAATAATCCCAGCTCTCCCTGACGTCCTGCCTTGTTTCCCAAGACTTCCCGTGCTTGTCCATACCTGATGTCCTGTCCCCTGACTTAATGCTCCTTACTTCATTTTCTCAGGAAAGCAGGCTCACATAAAGTTCCTGAGTAGCCATAGGTTATTTCATCTATATATTTGCAGTGACAAAACTGCCAGCTTTTGGATGATTTCCCTGAGGAGGATACTGATAGACGACAGAAGGTTCACAGAAGAGCCGTCGAAGTGACTAAAGTGAGGAGAAAAGCCTCAAATGGCTTAGCCTAACTGACAGATGGCTACGGATGACTGGATCGATAGGGGAGGATATTTAAAGGAATTTAATTATTGAGGGTTCTTCCATCTAGCTATGGGAGACAATCAAAATTTATGACTAGAAGTTGAGGCTAACCCAAACTCACACTGGAAGTAACGCAAAAGGTTTGAGATGAGACAACTTACCAAAGGTTATAGTGTGTTTATTTTCCATTACTGATTGAAAGGTACAGCTGTAATTGGAAAAAGGCTTAATTCGGGAAGCTTTCAAGTTGTTCTGAGCAGCTATTAGTGTTTCTGTTTGAAACACATGCTGATATGGAGTTTGCTGAAAATTACCCCAATAATTCCCAGTCTTTGCTAAATTAGGTGAAATGGAGAAGTTGGCCTCCTGCCATGTGACTTCTCGTGTTGCTAATTGCAAGGATGAGTCGATGTTTGCGCGAGACAGATTTTTATCTCAAGGTCGCTAGTTAGAGTCCAACTCAGGCTGAAGGCTTGAAACGACGCCGTCTGACCGGCATGATGGTCTCCATTGAAATCCCTCAGGCCGCCAAACGTTGGCCATTGTGCAAGATGGCCAACAGAAATAACAGGGCTTTCTTAACAAGCCAGTTGGCAAGGCGAAGAGGTGAGCATGAAGACAGATGTATTTTCTTGCTGTAGCCATGAACCAGATCTTTTTTCTGGGACAAATCTGAACAGGGGATTTATGGGAAGCTTGTGTTTCTACAGCCTCAGCTGTAGATGCTATGTGAGTAAGTAGCTGGCAGCTTGGCACCTGTCTACAGCATGAAATCAACTTTAAAGTAAGAGTATTTCTGCAGGAGGTAATGGCTTTTACCATTTCAGCATTGTTACCTTGGCCTTACATATGAAATTTAGTTTAGGAACTGGGAGTGTCTAAGATCAGGCTTAGGTATTCCCTGAATTAAGTATTATTTGAAAGGTGGTATTATTATTTTTCTTTTAAATGTTTTATTCCAGGCCACGAGGATCTAGGTACCTTTGAAGATCCAACCTTGAGGCCATACTTAAAACTTTTTCTAATGAGCGTCAGTTAAGAGGTTGGAAAACCCAGCCACCTTTCACCAGCATTCCCATTGTTCTGGCACAACCGTTGGACAGTTTTATTGGCAGAGGCACCCATTTTCCATGTATAGCCTTTTCAAGGAATCTCCTTAGAACATGTTGTCACGTAAGCAAGTCCTGATTCATAGCACATTAGCATTGACAAAGGGCAGGAAAGATAAAGAGCAGTAATTTCCGATCTCCGAAGGTTTCACATCATGGTGTTTTTCAAACTCATTAGCAGTGACTTGGATATAGTTGCTGCCCAAAAAGATCATGTAAGAAATTAACTCCTAATACCTTGTAGATGTAGTCACCCTCGCACTGGTGCCTCCCATGGGAAAAGGTTTACACCTTAAGTTGCCTGCTTAAGAATTAAGCTGTGACTATGAAGCCATCAGATGGGCTTACAGGTCTCTGGTATGTATTGTATACTCGGAGCGGAAATTCAGGGCATGCGAGTTGGGCTTGATTATTTATAGCTAAAGCCCTATTTTACATTAATGGTTTCCCTTCACATGTGAGTAGCTATGCTGGGTGCTGAACCGTAACAGAGATCTCGGCCCCAGCAGAGCCTTAATAAGCACGCAAAGTGCTATCTGATCGCTCGGGGGAGTGATATAGCTTTTATAGTGAGCAATGTGGATGGTTAATAGCATCTTCCCTCTGTGCCCGCTGCTGTGCTGGCCCCGTTTGGTCCGTCCTGTGCGCAGAGGGTGCTCAGGTGGGTCCCTGCCCTTGTTGCTGTTCAAGTAGAGCAATCCTTAAATCTTCTCCTGTCCCCTCCCAGCTGTTTAGCATCACTGCTGTTGTCACGTAAATGGCACTGGAGTAGCCCTGGGGAAACGTTTAACACAGATTATTTTAGACAAGGATTGAACAGCTACAAGGAGCCGGTATTTATGATCAAATAAAGAGCCGTGGAGGCGGGTGGGCTTTCTGTGGTCCACAGGGCACGGATTCTCAACCGTTCCGCGCTGGAGCTGCACCCGTCGTGCGTAGTTCGCTTCCAGGTACTGGGCATTGGAAGAACGTCCTTCCTTCACCTCATCCTGAAGTCTGGGTTGCTGGATGGTAGCAACTTCTGCGTAGGGCTGTGATAGCATTTGGCCATAGTGGTCTCCAGGCTACTTTTCAGGCTTTTGGGGAGAAAAACTCTGAGTGGTGTCTTGCTTGTCTGAGTAAGCATGATGGGCTGCAGGGTATAACCTCTGCTCCCTAGTTAGCTGGAGGCCACTGGCAGCCTCTGGATCTCTAACAAGGGCCACAACTTTTTAAAGTTTAATTTCTGTCTAGATGTTGGATAAGTGATCCATTTTGCTATCCTGAACGGGAACAATCTGGTTGTTTTGTCAGATTTCTCTTCATTCTACTGGGACCCAAGGGCAAAGCGAAGTCCTATCATGAGATCGGCCGAGCCATCGCCACTCTGATGTCAGATGAGGTAGGTGTCTTGACATCTCCTGTGTGAAATGGGTTCTCCCAGGTTTCACTTCGTTAGCTAATAATGATGCCCTTTCCTCCAGCGTGGTCAGCAGGACCGGGCGTACACATAAACCTGTAATATCCAGATGTCACCTCCTCATTCCTTCTGTTTACGTAATTATTTCATCTGGCTTCGTGTTTTTATTAAAAGCATGCCTATAGGAAGTTTTTGTCCATCCTGTGTATTTTTCTGCTAGCAGTCACTCTTTCAAATAGACCACGAATTGATCTTTGAATTAATCTTGTTGCGGTGTGCACCTTGTGTCGCATTCCACGATCACAGCTACGCTCCAGGTAATTACCGCAGAAATGGTTACAGCCAGGACATACTGTTGTGTGTTGCGCTGCATCCCAGAGCATTTCCTCCCTCAGGCAGTGCTTATATATTATCCATGAGTAGCTAGCAATTACTCACTAATCATATACCTCAATGAGATGACTGGCCTTTCAATATTCATTTACGGCTTCTTTCTTCCAGTGTCCCTTGGGCTCTGTGCATCTGGGGCTGATTTACATTATGTTTGTTTCTTGTTTTCTCCTTATGTTATTTTGCTCTCATACGGTTCCCTTAATTACCGCTCGCCCAGTCTCAGCTCTTCTGTCTTCTGTCGTTCCACTGCTTGGAGCAATGGTCTAGTTTCCATAGCCCCAAAGTCCTCCTTCCTACCACCGACTGTTCTTATTAAGTCTATCATGTGTGGTGATCCACCTTCACTCCAAGTAGTCCAAAAGATTTCTGTAAAATTCAGCATTAATGCTCTTTTTCCTCTCTTCTCTCATTCGGTCTTCATCAGTAATTCTAGGCCTTTCAGTGAAACTGGTTTGTGCTTCTAGTTATTATTTTTGAATAAATATTGTCATTGTTTCTGTGTCACAGGATTGAAAACTATCCTATAGTTTGATAGACTGAAGTAGGTAGGAAAAGAGGATCCACGCTTTTTTGTGGCTTTGTGGAAGTGTCTTCTCAAAGTATAATTGAAACTCATTATTTATAGGAGAACTTCTTTCAATAAAAGAAATGAATAATTGCGTTAGTAACTTTTTTTTACAAAGGTTAGAAATTTATATTTTGCTAAAAATCAGAAATGCGTGCAAGAAAAGAAGCTCTATCATTAAACGACCAACCGAAGGAAAGGGCTTTCCTTAGCATTGCACATCTTTGTGCCAAGTGTCCTGATACTATTTGAGAGGTTTTTGAGAATGAATAAGTTGGTTTTGTAGAATAAAACTCAGTAGCTGCCTCTGAAGTCTGGGCTACAGAAAATGCAACCCTTTTTCTACATGGCGTCTCTCTTTCCCTTGCAGGTATTCCATGACATTGCCTATAAAGCCAAGGACCGGCAGGACCTGATCGCTGGCATTGATGAGTTTCTGGATGAAGTCATTGTGCTCCCCCCTGGGGAATGGGATCCAGCCATTAGGATAGAGCCCCCCAAGTCTCTTCCTTCTTCAGATAAAAGGTAGGAGCAGGAGACAGGCAGGTTTAGCTCGCTGTTGAAGGACAGCACGCATCAATGCTGAAACGGTGATGGGAAGAGCCGGCGCTTTGGGTACACCAGGTTTATTGAGCAACTGCAGTGTGGCCTGCATCTGTCTGTCTGTATTCAAAAAGTACGAGAAATATTTTCAGGTCTGTCTTAATAGCTAGAGGGAGGATGTTCTTGCAATTCTGTCCCCTTTAAGGTGATGTTGTAGGCATATAATATCATACACAGCGGTTATCCAGACTCTTTGGGGTCCTGCTTGGTTTTTCTAACACGCTACGTTCCACTGTGGCTGCCAGCCGGCCAGCCTTCTAGTCTTCTTTGTACAGCATGGCTTCAGGAGAGGCTGTGTAATGCTGGTTTGGAGGAGCGGCGTGTGGATTATGTTTTGTGGAGCCGTCAGGCAACGCAGCGAGCCTCACTTTGACCTGCCTTCTTGCCTAGGAAAAACATGTACTCGGGTGGAGAAAACGTACAGATGAATGGAGACACACCTCACGATGGAGGACACGGCGGCGGAGGCCACGGGGACTGTGAAGAACTGCAACGAACCGGCAGGTCAGTAACACATCGCTCAGCGTGATGTGCCTGGTGTGACCCGAGCAAGGTGGCAACGTTTCCCTTCCAGAACCGTTTTGCCCCTTCTGTTTTCCATCCCGACGTGCTGTTTGTATAGGTTGAGCTGTGACCCCAGAAGGTGTCCTGGGGTTTTTAGTGCCCAGCTTGAGACCGCAGGGTTCGGAACATCCAGCCTCAGCAAATGACAAAGCGTCTTAAATGAGGCACTCAAAAATGAAAGGAGGCCCAGGTAGGTGTTAGCTATTGAAAGTCCGTGAAGTTAGACGAACTGTAAGGGATGTAAACGTGGGGAGGTCCAGCTGCCATTTTCATTCGGATTGCTGGAAATGCTTTAGCCAAAAGCAGAGACATTCCTTTTTCCAGACATTCCCGTTGTAGTTGAATTGCGCAGATGAAGGCATTTATGGGGTAGAAATACAGAAGGTGACAGAACCCAAGGCCTTACTCTCTGCTTTATTACTCTGCTTGTATGCCATGTAAAAAAGTCCACCAGAGTGGGAATGCAGTTCAGGTGACCGTAAAACAGTGTGCGCAGCATTTCAGGGTCAATACACAGGTTTTCATGGTGGCATTGCGCCTTCCCTTTCAGTCTGTATTTTTTTTAAGTTCTAGTAGAACATCTGAATTCTAGGAGAAAAATCTGAAAGTCTGAAATTGCCCATTGCTGTGTACAAGGCAGCCGATACATCCTGATTCTGGGTCAGGCGGTAACGTGTGCCTATGTGCCATGTACCTCTCTGCGTACAGCGTGTCTGAACAGTTCTGGCGTTGGTGGTGAACTGTGTACAAGGGGACAAGACGCAAAACAGAAACATTTTTCATGCTGGCGGCGTCAGAGCCACATGGAGTTTGTAAGAGTTAAATACTGTCTTGTCTGTGATTGTACAAAAAGAATATGTCTGCAAGCGGAGCTCTCTTGTTCTCCAGGATGATTTCACTTACTTGCGTTTTTACTTCTAGTTCTTTTTCTGGTTAACGGTTTGAAGCATTTTTCCATTTAGCAGATTGTTTGGCTCACCCAACCGTTGTGTCTGCCATGTGGAGAAACTTAGGCAGGGATTTAGACTAGGGTTAATATATTTTATTACATCAGCCAGCAGAAGCAGGGCTTGTGTTCTTGAAACTTCTCTCTTTCCAGCTGCATCACATGTTCAAGATAGTATCTTTCTTTACAACATTATCTTAGTGATACCCCTGGACCGTCACAGCTGCGATAAGACCATTATGTAATGTGATGATCTCACTCCTTTCAGATAATACTTCATTTCTGACATCGTTTCTGATTACTTATCTTGGTGACTTTCACTGTAAAACATTTTGCACGAGTCTTTTCTTGCTTGTCCTTTCAGATTCTGCGGTGGCTTAATCAAAGACATAAAGAGGAAAGCACCATTCTTCGCCAGCGACTTCTACGACGCTTTAAATATTCAAGCCCTTTCAGCCATTCTTTTCATCTACCTGGCCACAGTGACCAACGCCATCACTTTTGGAGGATTGCTTGGTGATGCTACAGAAAACATGCAGGTTAGCAAGAACTTTCAGAAGCAACAAATATGTCATTTGCCTTTTGCTGTCTACAGTCAGAGGGGTGTTTGGCCACCAGCAAAGCTGGAATGCTGGGTACAAGTAATAGAGGTATCCTGTGTTTCCACTGAAAGTTGGCTTGCTTTCTCTGCTGTTGGACGGCTGTCCTTCGAAAAATTGTACAAGCAGTTACCTTAAATGGTGTTTGAAAGATGGCCAGGAGACAGAGAAGGTCCTCGTTCCTTCCATATAGAGAAGTTCCTCTGATCTACTCTCTGTGTTTGCGTCTCGGTTGTACCGTTTCAGTCCAATTAAGTTTACTAAGTCTGATTCAGACTTTCCATGTCATCAGAGCATAGCACTGTATCCTCTGCATGACTCTTGGAATCCCTGGCCTTCGCCTCTCTGGTGAAAAGAAAATCCTAAGATTCATAGGAAAGCGAGTAAATTGGGAGATGTGACACAGGAGAAAAATGTGAGTTCTTCAGAAAGATGAATTTCGTAGTAGTGGAAGATCAGATCCTGAGAACGTATTGCATATCCAGAGATAGGCTGGATCAGCGGTGAAGACAGAAGTGGGGGCTTCGAAGGATGGCTCAGTTTTAGATGAAGCCTAAAGGAAAGGGATTCTGTATTAACAGTGCTGTAGGTCCTTCGTGTTTGACTGGAGCAGAATTATGCTCTAGCAGTGCGCTTTAGTATTCCTTTGGCTTTCTGAAGAGGAAGAAAACATAGGAGGCTATATTTAGATAGATTCAGTGCAGCCACGTTGAATCTCCTAACAATAATTAAGCTCATAGTGACAATGACTGAATTATTAATTTACGCAGGTTTAATTAAACCAAACATAGAAAAAAGGGGCACCTATCCAGAGCTCTGCGCTTCCCTATGATAAATTACAGGCTAGAGTAAGATTCAGTAGCTGGTGGAGTGCCAAACTTCTCTCTCCCCTGTACAAATACAGCTTACCTCTTCCGAAACTCAGGTCTGCAGCAGTCGTGTGAACAAATGCATGATGTGCAACATTAATGAGAAATAATAGCAAATGGAAGTAGAGAATGGCAAGGCCTTCAGGATCCCCCAGTGAGCATCAGTCTTCTGTCACTGAGTAGCAGAGCAAAGTCTGTCTGCTCTGCGTCTGTACGAGGTACAGTTGTTAAAGTAGGGGAAGGAAGGGGAAGTGTTACCTGATTCCAAATTTAATGCACATAATCACGTTATTGTGTCCAAAAGTGTTTTCTGTTACCTTTGTATCCCGTGAACGTTTATTATCAAGTAGCAAAATATTTTTTTGCCACTGAAACTGACGGTATACTTTCTTAATGCTCACAGAAAAAAAAAAAATCATAGTTTTTTTAAAAAGAAGCACCTTGCATTTCAGGAAGTTGGAAAATATGCCATTCATCCAACAAATGGCAAAACCGCTGCCCCGTTAAGCAGCGACAGTCCCCTTGCTTGCACTTGGTCGTATTGTTGGAGTAAGACACGCGCATTTGCTGTCTTTTGCTTTGGCTGCTGGATCGCCAGCACGGGCTCTGCAAGGGGAGGAGATCCCCACCCTGGGTCCCCGTCTCCGGCAGCGAAGGGACCAGCAGACACAGCCTCCCTAGGAGACCTTTTGGTGGCATTGCCCCGTTTGCTCGGCGGCGTGGCTGCGGACGACCTCGTTCATAGTTTGCAGCCGTTCTTTGCCGCTGCCCCTCTTTCCTCGGGAGGTTTTCTGCCCCCAGGCTCCACAGCGTACGCCAGGGAAGGAGAGGGGTGATAAAAGAAGGTAGGCATCTGGGAGAAGAGCCGATAATCCCGGTGCTCCTGGGGGACCCCTCCGCTGCCTTCCGCCTGCCAGGGGTTGATGTATAAATGGGTTTTGTTTTATACCTCTCATGCTGGGGTGAGTTTATTCTTCCAAGAACTTCACGAACCTTCTCGATGGGATTATATCCGAGTGTGCAGCCTTGCTCTGATTTCAAATGGTATTCATTTGTTGAACGTGACAGTCTCATTTCGCCAAAGTATGTCTGAGACTGTGAGCTGCGTAGAAGGATAGACACATTGGGAGGGGGAAGGGTAGAAGGAAGAGAAAACACAGGTTGCCTTTAGTCCGTCATTTTCTCTGCAGTAGATAAAACCCAGTCTGAGTTTTCCTATTGCTCGGAGTAAAAAAAAGTCCCTAGAAAGACAAAAGCTGCAGGAACATTCTGTTTTGAGCTCAGTGATTTATCCTCCGTGTTGAAAAGGGAAACCACTGATGCTCTGCAGTTAAGAATACTGCTTTGGTAACGGGGAAGCTCCGCAGCAAATATAAACACAGCGTGGCCCTTAATGACAAAAACTCCAGGAGCAGCAGAAGGAACCAAGACACGAGTCCTGTCGAATGCTTTGTCCCTTGCTTCGCAGGGGTTTGTGGCTCAGTGAGGAGGGAGTTGGGGCTGTAGCCGGAGAGGAGCACTGGCAGCAAGGAGGGGTGTCTGTGGATGTGCCCCCCGGCCGCCCGCTCCCCACAGCCATTTTGCCGTTAAACTTCAGTTCACAGAAGTGGAGCAAAGTGCAGGAAGATCATCACTGAGTTGCTAGATCGGTCCATAACATAGCCAAGGCTCAGTGCAGGAGAACATTGTCTGTTATTTTCTAATTTGTGCACTTTGACATTTACTTGCTTCTCACATACAATGACCGGTTGAATTTACTGGGTTTTATTTATGTACTGGTTTAAAATTGAAGTACCAACAGTTTTTCTGAACAGTTCACTGGTGGATCAGAGGTTTAGAGAGTTTGGGTGCAACTGCCTTCTCTTTTGCCATCTCCCTTCAACAAATCTTTATTGACCATCCTTGTTCGAAAAGGCATTAGGTCTCTTGGCTGCTGTGGGAGCCTGGAAAGGGTTTTGACTGCAGGTTTTCAACAGAACAGCAAAACTGTGTGTTCTTCGTGCTCAAATGCCCCTGTATCATCAGAGCCGGAGTGAAGCGTCCCAGGGCGCCCAGTTCAAGTTGTTCCTCCAGGGAGCTGCTCAGTGGGATCGGAGTGCAGGTTCATGTCGAGGGTTGCTCAAACCATTGCGCATTCCTGCAGCGGGAAGGAGTTTGGAAGCGTAGTTTTCTGTAAGACATCTCAGAACGTGAGCTGCACTGGATCTTTATACTCAGAAATGCGAGGGAACGTTACGCCAGCTTCGACAGCTGAGGAGCTGTTTTCCCCCAGACATTTTTCCTCATAGAAAACAGTGGTTTTGGGGCTACCACATCAGAGTTCGTGCTTCTTGTTCCTTGTAAACAATTATGTGACTGCTGCTGGGTCAGGCACTAAAAATCGCCTGTCCCGTGCTGCCTGCCCCGGTTCAGAGAGCCTGACACGGCCAACGCTTCTTTACAAGCTCCCTTCAGAGTTTTATGTTTCTGAGAAAAGGCACTATTCTTAGCTACAGACACGTGGAAGAATGCAGGGAAAAGAGATTCCAGATGCGCTGGCCGCGAGGGCCCTCTCCGTGAGTAATGCGGGAGGAGCGAAGGGGATCAGCTGCGCGAACGCCGTTCCTCGCCCCGAGAGCGATTGTCTCGTCCTCACAAGTCCCCCGACGGCAGAAAGCAAAGGCTCGTAGGCTGCCGTCCGTGCCCCCCGAAAAAACCCGCACAGCCCTCGCGTTGAAGGCTGCGGGGCATCCCGGCAAGCAGATCTCCCTTGCCCCCATCCCTGCGAGGGCCGGGGCTGTTAGCGATGGGCATCGCCAATGGCACTTAGAAATGGAAAGGACCGCGGCTGGCACCTCCTGCCGAGGCGGGGTGGCTTCTGTCCGCTCCACAGCAGCTCGTCTGGATTGACGAGTGGCTGAATGTGTGTCAGGAACAGGCGGCTTTTACACCTTCCTTACCTTTTGCTTCTCTGCACAGCTCTCAGGCTGCTGCTTTAATCACCCAGCAACAACAGTGCTTGACCGCTGGTGTTTTGAGATCGTGTTTGTGGCCAGAAAGACAGTTTATGATTGCTGTAGAGAAAGTTCTGCTAGTAATTTGGTCGATGAAAAAAGATCTGCTCTACATAGTAACATACTAGTTTGACATGTGATAGTGTGAATATACTTTCCTCAGTGTAAACAGTAACTTGGGTCTTTCCAAGAAAGAGAGCCACGAAACTTAATTTAAATTCTTTGCGTTACCACTGATAAGTCAGAAAAACTGCAGCCCCAACCCTGTGGTTTGTCATGGATGGAAAGAAGGATCTGCATGTGCTGTTAATTGCCGGTTGCTCAGCATGTGCAGTACTAACGAGGCTGCTGATTCAGATCCAGCTACAACGAAGCACATAAGCCTAGGCCTAAATCTGCCCCTGGCTGTTGGGTAAGTATTCCTGGAGAGGGTGATGCTGATGGCTGCACGTCTTATTCAGCAGAAGATGATGCTCTTGCTGTTCCTTTAAAACTCAGTTGAGTGTAAACAGATCAGTTTGCATAAGAGCAAGGTCCAGCGCATTCTGCCGTTTTTGTAGAAGGGTGCACGCTCAGACAATAATCACATTTTATTGCCATTTATATTTCACCCACAGTTTGCGTTTTAAACGTAGATATTGTCCAGCTATAGTTGGACCTGAAAATCCAAGAATGCATCAAGCATGCTCTTTTATCCTTCTGCAGTGAAGCTGCTTTGCCGCACATGCCAAAGGTAATTGTAGAGCCCATTAAATACGGAATTTATTACTTGCCGGTGACATGTGATGAACTTGGGTCTCAACGCATGACTGCTGGATGAAGTAGCCTTGTTTGGTTTGTGTCTCACTTAGTAAAACAGTTACTTGAAAGAGAGGCATCTTGTTTATCTAGAAAGTGTCTGCTCAATTGGAGAAAGAAAAAAGAGCATCTTCCATTGCCCCGGAGGATGTTGTCGGCGCCGTCCTGTAGCCGTGCTCTGCCGCGTCTGCCTGAAACGCCCCGCGAACGTCTGTCTTCACTGTCAAAGATGTGGGAGATGTTCAAGGAGTTCTCAAATCCTTTAAGTGATCTTTGAAAACACACTCCTCCCCTTGTCCAATATAAAATACAATATAGTGTTATTAAACTCCGGGCCTCAGAAATAACAAGGGGGGGGGTTGCTGGTTATCCTGAGTAACTGTGTGGGACAAACGCGTCTTTGGGTGGACCGCAGGAGAGGGCAGAAGATGGTCTGCCCTGAGTCTTGGACATATCGGCATACGGCACGCGACCGGTTGCTGATGTAACGACTCATTTTCTTGGAACGGTGTTAACAGAAAGGGTTATTCAGTAGAACTCACTTCTCTCCTATGTCTACCGCAGGGCGTGTTGGAGAGCTTTCTGGGCACAGCAGTCACCGGCGCGATATTTTGCCTTTTTGCTGGTCAGCCACTCACAATTTTGAGCAGCACAGGACCTGTCCTTGTCTTTGAACGGCTTCTCTTCAATTTCAGCAAGTAAGTACCAGGGTGGAGGAGGGAGGAGGGGAGGAATGTCTCACGCTAATGAAATACTAGCTAGGGAATGAGATGGCTAGCGGTGGGGAAGGAGGGGATTTAGTGCATGAAAAGAAACATCTCTTTGTTCCTTGTTGAGATTGCAGTGCAATCACGTCGGGGATTTTCACAGGCACGCATGTCCCAGAGCACTGCCCGGTGTGCGGGTGCGCATCTCCTTGGGGCCTCTTGGAAATTCTTGGCCAAATCTGTCCTCGGTGGGAAGTTTGCACTAGTTACGGTCGGTGCGCTGTTCCTCCCCAGCTGCTGCATGTGTTTCCCCGGCTGGTGTGTGTTTCCCTTAGGAGCAAAGCATGGAATCCAGCTCTCAGTGATTTCACTAACAAAATGCCGCAGGTCTCAGGGTTACCAAAAATTTGTCCTTAAATAGGTACTCACTTGAAATAATCGCTATTACTTGTAAAAGAAAAAGTACCTGTGACAGAAGCAGCTATCAATGTCTGTTTGTCCCCAAAATTCCTCGGTGGAGCTTTGCTGCATTAAATGCTCTTGGTTTTTTTTCCTTTTAACTGGTATAAAGAGGTTCTGCTCTCTCTCCACCACGTTAACGTTGATGCAGTGATGATAGCTGACACCCAGAGCTGAAGGGAGCCCGTTTTGTTAGGCGTTCTCAATTACTATTCCCACATCTGCAATGCTGGCAAAATATATAATGAGAATCCCTAAAGGAATCAGCATATTCATTGGTAATTTTACATGTATATTCATTGATGGTTTTACATGTAGGACTACTGGTACTTTGGACGGTGTTTTGCAAGCTGATGGTTTTAGGTTGTACAGAACATGCCGCAGATCACTTGTAGCCCTCCCTTCCCCCAGCAGGGAGTGTTCACAGCCTCACAAGTTGTGGGGGACTTGTGTTTCAGTACACAAACCCAAGAGCTTTTGGAGGTAAGGCATTGCTAGGCTTTCTTTCAAAAGCAGTCGCCTGTGATGTGGAACAGCTCTTTGGCCGTTGGTGGTTATTTTTAGAAAAGGTCTCTTGAATTATTAAGCTGAACGTGGCTGCAGGTTGCAGTAAGGCAGGAGAGATGGTGTATGTGTGGTTCTTTAATTGTGTCTCCTTCCTCATTATATTGCATCTCCTTGAGTAGTTCCTCAGAAATAATCGAGAGCATACAATCATGTCTTCCCTGTGAATACCCTACGTGTTGGAGAAGTCTTTTGAGGTACAGAGCTTCTGCTAAGGCAGACAGTATATTTGCGTGTGATACACAGTGCTACACTGGACTCTTCTGGAGGGAGATGACTTCACTTGGTTAGTTAACTCACTCCATAATACTTGTGGCAGCGCGAGCTGTGCCTGTGAAAACAGTGCAGGGCAGGATGAAACGGGCACGGTCTGATTCTCCTGCTGCGTTGCCGAAGTTGGTGTTATTTTATAACCGGTACTGTTGGGTTTGAAGCCCAAATGGCCTCACGGCGCGCTCTGACTGCTGTTAGACAGAGCCGTATTCATGCCAAGCTGGGGAAAAGTTCGTCCTGGAGTCAAGGATGCCATGGAGAGACGACCCGCATCTTCAAATGCAATGCAGTCCCCTCCTGCCTGGCCCTGGGAGATGGACTCTCAGCCTGTCTCTTCCCCCTACTGGAGCATAGGCAGGGAGGGCTGGAGGCTAGAAAAAATGGACAGAAAACTAGACTAGCCCGGGAAGGGAGGCTGGAAGCTGCTGACTGGCAAGAGCTCTGCAGCAGAGCAAGAGGGAGGGCACCTTCTTTTCTTTCTTCGACTGGAATAAATGAACAAAACCAGGAATAGACATGCTATAGCTGTTTGCATCTGGCGGGCAGGTCAAAGCCCAGGTGCAGCACACGGAAGGAAAAAAGCAAGGTGGAAAAACACTTAGTACAGTTTTGGGAGGGAGAAGGTGTTTATTTTTAACCCGAGGAGGAGGTGGTGGTTATAAAAGCTATTGTCCTAACAACCTTCTGGAGCAGAATGGCAGGATTTTTCGAGGGAGTCTTTCTCACAAGGAAATTGGAATCAAGTACTGTGATTTTTCAATAACGCGTTTGTGGTTGTTCATATTCACAACACCCTGTTCCCTGCTGGGAGCAAAATTAGAAAGACTTCCCATCTACCGATTCATTTAAAGTTTGACTCTGTGCGTGTGTGTATGGAGAGACACCTAAAAAAGCCTTGCGTACCCAGCCGCGCATCTAGCTTTGGGTGCCTGCAGGAGCGGCGTTCGCCGCCTTGCCGGCAGAGAGGGTCGATGCTACAGGACGCCCTGGGTCAGCTCGCATCCCGGCTGGTGAGCTCTGCTGCCGTGCAGAGTCTCTCCGATGCCTGTTGTGAAATAAGTCTGGGTTTCCAAGCTGGAAGCAGCGGGAAGCGAGGCACCAGGCTCCCTGGGAAATCAGGACCCCAGCCCTTCTGCCTTCAGCCGCAGAAGCAGGCTGTTGGGAAAAAGTTTCCCTTCCAGAGACCTTGGAAAGAAAATCAATCACGGCAGAAGTACTTAGCCTGTTGTATTGTGTATGCGAAATGTCCTGTGCTTTTTCATTTGTTCTGTGAGCTTCAGAAGTGCTGCAGGACTGTGAGGGGTAAAAAAAAAAAATAGTTTAAAACCTTTTGAAGTTCTGCAATGGTGTGCAGTCAGGATGCCATCTGGGCTTCTGCCAGACGTCTTCTCCACGCTCGGTCAGATGGATGGCAGCTCCTGCTCTCTGAGGCACTGACTCCGGATATTTCAGAGAGCTGTCGCTGGGGTCTTTTTATTGTTTACTTTTTTTCCTTCTCTTTTTCTAAATCATGACTTAGATGCTTCTTGCCCTTCTTCCAGGTCAGACTCTCAGTGTGAGACGGCTGCAGCCCTCCCTGAGATGTTTACCTACAATAAGGAGAAAGCCTCGCAGAGGCTTGGTTTGAATACAGATGCCCAAAGCTGTCTGAGCCTACCTGACATCCGACCCAGGATCCTTACAGAAATGCATGACACCGCCCAGCCGCAAGCCTTTAACTGGCACCCTGCCTGGCCTGCAGCCTTTTCTCCCATTTTACAATCACAAGGTTGTAGTTCCCCCTGTTGAGGTGCTCCTTTGTTCTCTACTCTGCAGTTTTACCCCATGTGCTAGAAAATTGCCCTCGAGCCCCGCTGTCGGCCAGGATTTCTGCTGGCGGTGGGGTGGGTGCCTGGGGCATGCCGCACAAAATTGCTCCAAAGTTTGCCGCGTTGTGGGTGAATGCCAACAAAAGGTAGAGGTGATGTAGTTGGGGGGAGGAAAGGATAAAGTCCTGGTCCCCATCCCCTCCCCAGAGCTTTCTGATGCTGTTAACAAGACTTTGCTCTGAGACTTTCCGCAGAAACTGCCCTTCGTCGTCTGTCCTTCCAGCACCGCAGGGCTCCTGGCTTCCAGGGAAGACCGGCTGGCTGGGGCTTCCAGCCCCACTGCCTCCTGCTCCCTTCCCCAGAGCAGGCAGTAACCTCCTTGGCAGGCCCTTCTCTGCTCTGGTGTTTGCTTTTCACGTTTGTTTGGTCCTAAAAGCCTGCCTTTGGACTCCGCCTCGAGCAGCAAACAAGGGGCAAACAAACTTCCCGGGAAGGAACGATGGAGTTCACTCCGTTGTTCTCCACAGCCTGCCACGTCCTGGCACCAGGGTTTGTCATCCTCTGCTTTGTACGTCATGGTCTTCTCCTGCTGATATTTTGATTTCTGCAGATACTGCAAGGGCCTGAGAGATGGAAATGCAGGCTCCTGAGTGTGAGGCTGGGCAGGAGATGGCTTTTCTGAAGGAGGTTTGTAGGCTGTGGTTACGTCTTCAGCTGGTGGAAAGCTGTCGGCGTTGAGCTGCTCTTGGTCTGCACAGCTGGAGGTTTGGGCCTTTACAGCTGTGCGCCTGTTTGCCAGGAGAGGGTTTTTACTGGGAAGCCTAGAAAAAGCTTGAATTCATTGGTAACATTTATTAGTGGAGGCGTAAGCAAAGACTGATCACTTCTGCATGCTTTTCTGCCACTTTGGCTGTTAAACGGCACCACATACATTTATGGAGTTGGCTGGCTGAAAACTTAGCTTAGCTCTTGGGACCACTCTCGTTGAGTCTAAATGAGCACAGGTCCCAGAGGCTGTGCGTTCACCACTTCTCGCCGGGAAGTCACGATCCTGCGTGGATTTATCTAACCCCAATATTTTCCCTTCCTGCCCGCTCCTGTCTTGTTGCAGAGACAACGATTTTGACTACCTGGAGTTTCGTCTCTGGATCGGCCTTTGGTCAGCCTTCCAGTGTCTCATTCTCGTCGCTACCGATGCCAGCTTCCTAGTCAAGTACTTCACCCGCTTCACCGAGGAAGGTTTTTCCTCCCTTATTAGCTTCATCTTCATTTACGATGCTTTCAAGAAGATGATCAAGCTGGCAGACCATTACCCGATCAACTCCGAGTTCAAGGTGGACTATATCACACATTACTCTTGTGCCTGTGAACCATTAGATCCAGGTAAGAGAATGTTTAATTAGCTCTCCATTTTGCAGATAGGAGATTGTATTTGCTTTCTTTTTCTGTTGGGCTGCAGTCCAGATAATAAACAGGAAGATTAATCCTTCTTTATCAGTTGTCTTCAGATATCATGTCTAAGCCTTACTTTGAAGGTGAGGGGTGAATTTCACCCTATGTGCCAGCTGGAATATCTTTATAGCCGACCTTCCTGGGACTCCTCATGTGAGCATCGTTACCAGTGGAGAAGCTGTCTCTGTACCCTTGTCTCCTTGCATCCCTGTGGCTTTTAACTCTGAACAGTGTTCCTCTGAGAAGTCTGTGAAGGGGCAGAAGCGGAGGTCAGGTCACTGCCATGGTGCTCAGGTCACTCCTGGTATCCCCTGTGCCATTTTGTCAAGTGCAGGAGCTGGATTTATTCAGGGCGTTACCCAAACATGGGTGGTTTTCCACCTCCTGGCTGCGTGTATGAGTGGGAAAGCACAAACAGGTCCTCACTGGAGCAGAAGGCAAGTATATCCAACAGTTCAGCCTATCGCTAGAGCGTGGGCTGCAAGGCAGGTATAGCCAGCATACGTATAGATCTGGCAACACAGCCGGGAACAAAAGGTTACAAAACCCAAATCCAAACAGAAGTATGCTGGCTCGTACCATTAGGGAAGCTGTGACCACTCCTAGGATCCTTCAAACAATGAGGAGTGAGCAAGAAACTTGGTTTGCGCTCAAGGTAAACTTCAGGTTATCTCAACGAACCTGTCAAACAGGAAAAGCTTCTGGTTGCTGCTAGCTGCCTCTGTGCAAAAGGTGTTGGGAACTGGGTCCCTAGGAACCGTGTACTTAGGTTAGCTATTAAATGTAGGCTCTCTGCAAGCCCATGGATGTTGGTCTAGTTCTGCTTCCATTCGAATGGCACGTAAGTGGCCTTATTCTCCACGTCTTGCATTTTTTTAAAGCCCTGTGTAAGATGGCAAAGTAGAGGCAGAATATCCTTCTTGTGTTTCTGGGATATTTGCTAGCTGCTCAGCGTGGTGTCAGTGACCAGGGGGGCTCAGGGAAAGGGGGAATTGTGCCCCAGCAGCTGGGTGGGCTCTTTGGCTGTGGGTGAACACACTGAGGAGGATGGCACAGCGTAAGATAAGCGAGGAGATCTGAACTTAACCCAAAGCAAGGTGCGATCCCAGCGGTGGAGTGTCAATGTCTTCGAAACACAGCTCAAGACTGTAAGGTCTTTCAGCAGCGGCTTTTGTAAGCAGATACCAACAGAGCATTAGGACATCAATTATCCTTTATGCTAACATTTCCTCCCTGAAAGTTTGCAAGCTTTCTCTCGTGCGTCAGGAAATGGAATAAAAATGCACGTGGCAGATTAGCAAAAGGGGGTGCCTGCTTCTAGGAAACAGTGTAATGCAGTAGCAGGTGCTTTCTTGCCAGTGATTTTCCTCTAGTGCAGATAATGTCTGCTGCAGTTGGGATATTGCAAGCAGTCGTTGATAAGCTGTCAGGGGTTGTGCTGGAGAGGGGAGCAGATTTATTTGCTTTTGTCCAAAGTAAGTGCAGGTAAAGCTTTATTGATTTTTGTCAAGCCACAGGTGAAGCTGGCTCTTCTTCTCTCATGCTCCGATTCGGGCTTTTTATTGTTGGTTTTAATCTCTGTCTCATGATGATTTGGCTCCAGAGTTTTTGCATCAGCCATTAGCTTGCATTGCTGGGTTTCCGCAGCGGGCTCTGCCCGCGCTCCCACTCGCAGAGGCCTCGGAAAGCCGGGGAGCAGCGTCTCGCCAGCCCCACCAGGCTTTCTGCAGGACCTTAAAACAATGCCTTTGGAATCACCAGCAGGATCTGTGTGTGCTCTGGCAGTGATTACTTACTATGTCCCGCGGGGACGTCGCTTTGATCCTTGCACCTCTAATCTGCGTCTCTGAGCAAACACGTACCGTTTTATAACGTGGGTCAAGAAGTTAAAAGGCAAAACCAACAGCCGAAGCCATGCTCCATCCGCTTTCGGGAGCAATAGCTTCCACGTAGCAACTGTTTAGCCAAAAGCGAAGCATCGGGAGAGTGTGCCGGAATGCCGAGGGGGCTGGGGGTCTAGGAGATGGCACCTTGCTGCTCTCTGCTCCGTGCAGTTTTTGGGTACCGATGTGAGACCGCGAAGACCCTTGTCGAACTGGCCGTCTTGCATGTTTCTGCTCAGAGGGGACAAGGTGCTCCATCCAAAAGGCACTTTACCTCATCTGTCAAGCCTACCAAGAGGGTTTGGATGTGATTGGAGATGCTAAAAAACCCATGAAGCACTCCAAGAGAGACATTTATTACCTCTTCTCAAACTTTGACCTCTCAAGAAAAGGACTGCATGGTTTCACAGGCTCAACTCCATCCTCGCAGCTTGGCATGGTTTCTGCGCTCAGGTGTTGCCCTCAGGGTTGAGGAGCAGGCTGCCCCGCACGGACCTTCCCAAAGAGATCGCTGCCGTCGCGAGGAAGACGCCGGTGGCAACATCTGCAATAACGGCACAATCCATGAGATCTTCCTTGTCAAGCGCCCCGGAAAGATTGCCTACGTATAAAGATGTCCTACTACTTATTTAGACCCTAGTGTGATTTCAGTAGTATAAAAGGCAAACGCACCTACTCATTCTCCCACTAAACGAATGCGAGCTATGCAGTATCTTAACACCACTTAAATATTCTTATCAGGTGTGAAAGTACATGCAAAACCTAAATAAAACATGAGGATGTAGTTGACAAGCCTATATTCAGGCAGGATTGCCTTTCTAAATGAAATTTCAAATAAATGATTTCTAATCCCGTGAAAACAAAAGGAAAACATGTATCATCGTTACAGTGAATGCTGCCCCTTTTTTCAAAGAAATCATCTCCATCCTGCTGATTTCAGTTACTCTTTATCTTTTGGTTTTTTAACTCAAAAAATGTGTTTGTGCTGGATTCTGAAATGCATTTTGATTTTCTGGGTATCTTTGGGGTTGTGCATTAATTTTAAATTAATAGTTAGGAGTGGTCTGTGGATATTTATTTTAATCCAGAAATTATTAGAAAAATACTGCAAAATCGTGAAATATTATGTTGTCTGTCTGGTTTTCTGTAATTTTTTTTTTTTTTACAATGAGCTCTAAAAAAACCCCAGTTAGATCTGAATTATGTTTCTTGTAGCCTTTGCTTTCCATTTTTTAAGTGATTGATGACTGATGCTTTTGAGTCACTCTGAAACAATACTTTTGACTCTCTTTACTTGAGCAAACAGTTTGATGGAGTTAACAAGTGATTTTAATAGTTGAAATTTGCTTTCCTTCCTAGCTGTTTCAGCACCACGCTCACGGTATTCCTTTTTCTGTCCTCTCTTGCAGTTAATAGCTCGTTATTTAACAGGACAGCGGTGCCGTCAGCTGATGAGTTGTTCTATTCCTCTACTGAGATGGTAAGTGCCCTTAGCGAGAGCGGGGATTATGTGGTCTCTGAAGTCTGTAAGTGCCGTGTGTTTCTGCTGGGCCATGCCAATAGATCGGGAATTGGTCACATGAAGAAAACCCTCGCGCTGACGCTCCCCTGTTGCCCGTGACACTGCTCCTTTTGGCATGCTCGCTTGATCCTCCAAGGAGTTCTCCTAGTACTGCATACACAATACCAAGTGCGCAATTTGATAATATTAATTACTTCCTAATAGCGGCCACTTCCTTGCAGTCTGATCTCTGTGCATTGGCAGGATGCAAATGGTTCTCCCGGGGGATTAGTCAGATCCTTGTGTCCAGGACTGTAATGGTAGGAGTGTTGCGGCCAGCCCTTCCTTTGGAAGGTCCTGTTTCCATCCCATTCTTTGGTTTTTCTGCGGCTAACCCTGCCTTTTCCACATTTCACTCCGGTGGTGAGCTTTGGACAATGAGGAGAAAGAATCAGAGCTTGATGGGGTCACATACCTTTGTGTTTGATGAAGGGGAAGTAAGTTGAGACGCAGAGGAACAACTTTCTCCTGAAGAACACAGATCCCACCCATCCGTGTTTCTTTTCACGTGGTGGCCGCTCTTGTGTGCCATCAAGTGGCCCAGCAGAAAGGGAATGGTTTCTGAGCTGGGCACGCTGTCTGTGAGCACTAGGAGCATGAGGCATGAACCCAAAGGCAAAAGGTCCCCGAGGGGGTCGGTCGCAGGCTGGAGAAGTAGAGGCGAGGTTTTCTGATGGCCAGGCTGCACCTCGTGTGCCCTTCACTGCTCCTTGCCTTCTTCACTGCCCCATCTCCGTCAGCTGGCCGCGGTCCCTGAGCATCCAAGCTGGATGCCTCTGGAATGGCTGGGAATGAGGACCTCCTCGTTCGGCTGCCCGCCACAGAAAATATCGCTCGGGGAAGGGATGAGCAGCCCCCAGCTCCGATACGATGCCGGCTGTCGGGACGCCTGCATCCACCCGTCGGGAGAAGGGTGCCCGTTGCCGCCTCTGTTCCATTAAGAAGAACTCTTCTTGGGTTTTGTGGGTTTAAGCATTTGATTGTCAGTCTCGGGAGAGGGGAAGCATGCGTAAAAGGAGGGCAAAGAACTGAACTGAGGCCTGGAGACATGAAAACAACCCAACAAGTCGCATTTCCAGGCTGTCCTTTCTTGGAACAGTCATCTCAGCCCTCCTCCCCCAAAACCCTGCTTTCCAACAATGCAGAGTGTCTCTGGCAGACCGCAGCAGAGGTCAAAAGATCTCTGTCTTCTTTCCAAGGCCCAGACTGTCCTCAGTTCCCAGGTAATATCATCCTGTGTCCAGGTTAAAATCCATTCTGTCTGCACACAAGCACAGGGAATTTTAGCTTCTGCACCGTGCCTCCCTTTTCCTCCCAGTATTTTTCCTGATGCTCTGTCCCCGTTCCTATCCTAGCCTGAGCAGCTCATGCACAGCTTTATGGAAACGTTCTCTTTTTTTCTGCAGTACAACACCACCGTTGACTGGTCATCTCTGACAACGAAGGAGTGCTTGAAATACGGAGGACAACTTGTGGGCAACAACTGCGAATATGTCCCTGACATCACCCTCATGTCTTTCATCCTCTTTTTTGGCACTTACACCTGCTCCATGGCCCTGAAGAAATTCAAGACCAGTCGCTATTTTCCAACCACTGTAAGTATCTCCTTTCACCTCAGCAGTCTGTTTCTTTACTCTTTTGGAGTGCAAAGATCAGCCTTCCTTTTGGTGTAGCTGTCACACACGCACAGGGAGAAATGCTTTGCAGGGAAGCCAGGTTGCAGTGGTTGAGATAAAACCTTGCGACTGGTTAACCAAGTATGTCTGGGATGGCTTAGCTGTCATTCTCTCAGTGTTTCTGGGGGGCACGGGTAAGGCAGCAGAAGAGCCAAAATGAGCCATAATCTGTTGTGGGGATGTGGCAGTGATTTTAAAGGTGCCAAAGACAACTCTTCCAAGCTGAGATACGCCACGATGTAGCTTATCAGCCTTAAGGAATCAGAAGAATCCTTCAGGCGTATATAGTTTCAGCTGGCCATTTTCGGTGCCAGATACGCAGCTTAATGTGATGTACTGACTCTGTGGTAGGATGCGTGGCCGTTCTACAGAGGGCAAATGACCAAAAGGGGCTATTAATCATTATGTCAGAAGTCTCCCTGCTTATAGCCAGAGGGACTATTTGGGGAGGACAAAAGAAGCCCTTGGCTTTGTCACTGAGTAAAAGCGTGTCAGCGAGCTGTCTGCATAGAGCAGGAGAGCAGAGACACATCTTTGATGTTACCACGTAGCATTTGAAACACTCGGAAATCAATGCAAAAATGTTGAACTTCACTGCAGTTCATGCCTGGTCTACCTGTTACGGTAGGGACCTAAAGCAGAAATTCCCTTTCTTTTCTGAGGCTCAGGTGCGAAATAAGGACGACCTGAAAAACCTCTGCATTGATTTAAACAAGAATTTGCTCAGACTTTGCCAACTTACATGCACCTCTTAGGTGCATCTGCTTGTTTTGTCTCCCCGACTAAAGTTACCACGACACGCGTGCGAGCTGGTCGTTTCCATGTGTACCAAAGCCACGTTTCTCTCCGAGACCTGCCCCCTGTTTTTGGCATTCTGACACACGGGGATTTATCCTGCATGGATGTTTACTGTTCTGCTGTGTTACAATTGAACCTCTATTATTTTTAATAAAAAGGAAACAAATTCCATCCAGGCTGGAATGCAGCTCAATTTCTCTGTAACCATGTGAACCCAGCAAACCTGGAAGGAACAACAGCTCTGAAAAGATCACGCAGTTACAGACAAGCACAGTGGGTCCTGCCCAGTTAAATCGTGGGGTCTGACCAGTGGCAGCTTTAGGTTGTCATATTCCAATGACTCCAGGAGAGTTGCACACTTAGGACATGTTGAGGTTTTAGCTGAGAAGCCTAGTTAGTTTTCCTGTCTGTTTAGGTTGATTTATTACTGGAACAGAAAACAATGTAATCTCTGCCAGTCATACAGAACATCTCCTCTGTCATAGAAGTTTGGGTCTTCCCATCTTCTAAAGGGAAGTTTGTGACTGTTTCCATTGTCCGGTGTAAAATACCATTTCTTCCCTTTTCCTTTTTTTTTTTCCAATCTGCATTGCAAAATCAGTTATAGGAAAAGAATGGAGTCTGGGGATAACACAGTATTTTTTGCTAAAGCCACATACCTTAGGAATCCTGTGATAACATGAGAAGCTCGACTCGTGTCAAAAAAGCAGTCTGTGGCTCTGCATAGAAAAACATGAATATGTGGACCCTAAAGAATCAGAAATCAGAAGGCAAACAGAAGGAGGCAATGTTTTATATGTCTAAAAAAAGTCACTATTTTTTTAGGTTTATTTTTAAATGTTCAATGTCTGTTAATATTGGAACCTGGTCCTGAAAAGTCTCTTCAGACACTGCTGCAGAGGAACTAGGTCTCCATACCAGCGGTTGTTGGCTGCTGTCAAACGTAACATCGGTGACACTGCCTTGAAGGATTCATGTGGGAGTTTCTTACAAAAGCAGTTTTCTTTTTCCTTAGGCTTGTTTTTATACTTCCATTTAGGCTTAATTGTTTGGCTTTCAGACAACACAAGAAAGTACCAAGGCACATTTAGGCAAATGGCACCAGACATGACAACGCGCACTTTTGTTTCTGTGAAAGGAGAAACGATGAGCTTGTATTGTCACCAGACACAAGCCTGGAGAATCACGTAGAAACTAAAGCATAGGTGAAATGGTGTTTCATAGCGCTAACTACTGATATCAACTTCTGTTTCAGGCCCGGAAGCTCATCAGTGACTTTGCCATTATCTTGTCCATTTTGATTTTCTGCGGAATAGATGCCCTGGTAGGCGTGGACACACCAAAACTACTTGTGCCAAGTGAATTCAAGGTATGTCATCATCAGCTTGTTTGGTGGCCTTTGGAAGAGGTTCCCTTTTCCACCCATTTGTCCTGTATAAAGCGACTTGTCCTCAAAACGGGAAAGTAGTCAGCGATCTGGAAAGGACCATTTGACTCAGATTACATCCTTTTTATTAACGTCATTTTGGTTGGCTGATTGATCTCCTAAATCCTGCCTCCATACTTTGAACCTCTTGTTGCTGTTAATGGGAAGGATGAAATTGTTGCAAACGTCAGGCGTCTCCCTGTAGCCCCATTGCTGGAAGTACAAGTGTATTTAGGATGTCATCGCTCCTATATTGCAGCTCTAACGCAAGCTTTCTTTTCCTTGCCCTTCGAAGCCAACCAGTCCCGAGAGGGGTTGGTTTATCCCACCTTTCGGAGGGAACCCGTGGTGGGTGTACCTGGCAGCAGCCATCCCTGCGCTTCTGGTGACTATCCTCATCTTCATGGACCAGCAAATCACAGCCGTCATCGTCAATAGGAAGGAGCACAAGCTCAAGGTGGGTGTGCTTTGCGTCTTGCAGATGTGCAGAGAGCTGCCCGCTGTTTTTTCTGTGCTGGAGGTGGAGGTTGGCCTGTGGCAGCGTTGAACGTACATGCCACCTCAGAAACGTCGCTGCTGGTGTTTAACAACAATATTTATTTTGTTAACTAGTGTAGAGGTTTTGCCAGGAAAACCGCTGATTCAGTTGAAAATCTTGAGCGTTGCACAAACAGCATTCGCCCTCCTGCAAAAGCAAGAATCCTTTGCAGGGCTAACTGGCAATGTCTCGTTCAGTAAGCACTTAATAATTTTGATTGGCTTCGCCATCGTGCGGCCTGAAGCATTCCCACGTGAGAAGCTTTGGGATTGCTCCTCCCTTTTCCTTCGCAAACAGGTCTCATGCCAGGAATAGTCAGATTTCACAAAACCAGCCAGCTACCCCATCCCTTCTAGGGGAAGGAAAGGACTTAGTCCCATCGTGTCCTACCCACTGTTCATCTGGCAAAGACGTGGCTAAGCCGGAAGAAATTAGAGCAGCCCTCCTTTGAGAGGCAGAACTTTTGTTTAAAGACCCTTTTCATATCAACATAAAACTGAAAGTTTCTTAAAAGCTTGACAATATTTTGATCTTTCCTTGCAAAAGCTTCACCCTCCAACTGTAAAAGTTGGAGAATGGCAAAGAAAACTTGTAAGTATAGCTGGTCAAAGCTTGTCTTGTAAAGAATACTGATGTAAACAATGTCTAGCTGCCTTCTTAACCTTGCTGCGCCTGCAACTCTACTCATGGTAGTAGCACTGGTCAACCTTGGTAAAGGGCTGGATGAAGTTCATTTGAAAATCTACTAGCCCTGACCCCAGCGGTGTCATTTGCCTTGGTAATTCTGCAAGACTCTGCCATGTGAAGAATTGGAAGAGGAAAGAGGGTGCGCTTCTGTCCATAAACATAAAGTTATTTGCTTGTCCGCTTTACTTGTCCATCTGACATGCTCTGCTTTTCCAGTAGGAGATGAGAAATCATTCAGTTAAATGCAGTCAGGAACAGGGGAGAACAGTTGATGTCTGTCATGCTGGACGTTTGCTTGCATAGGGTAAACACATGCTGTCCACTGTGTCCAGCAAATGTGGTTATACATACTAGCAAAACTGTTCATTCCTTTAAAACGAGTCCCCAGGTCTGATGTTAAGGAACACCTAGGAAGGATAGGATGCTTTCCAGTGAGGGTGCTTGGCAGTCGTTCTTTCTGGCATGTTCTTCAACAAGGCATTTGGAAAGATGATTGGGGCGAGCAGAAGGCTCTGATCGCTTGCTGCCTTAGAGCTGCTGTGCAAAACTGCTGGGTTTTGGTAGTGCTTGTGCTTCCAAATGGCCGTTCACTTCACGCTGTAGTTCTCTAGAGAAACTAGTCCCAGACTCAAGTCCAGCTAACTCACACCTCTCCTCTAGCATCAAATGTCTTTTAACATCTAATTTTCCTCCTACAACCTTCCTCCCTCGAAAACGTGGGCCTATTCCCTGTCATCTGCTGCTGGTTTTAAGGAGAGAAAGTTGCTTTGTGATTGTGGTCAGCTTTCTCCCTGCTCTTCTGTCATAGACTCTAAGGGGATACTTCATGAATCTGGTGCACCAGCATGGAAAGGAAAACGAGGGTGGCCAGAGTGGGTCCACCAGGTCATGCGTGGATCTGCAGAGAGTGCATGGTTTTGGGAGCTGAGGCTTGCGGTGGGGAGAGGCTGTGAGCTTGGAAGGATCTCCTCAGGAGCTCTACTTTAACCTGAGCCAGGACTTAATTTTAATTTGCCCAGCACTGCGTTACTGCATTCAAGCCAAAGTCTCTCTCACCTTATCACAACGGACAAAGTTTCTCCAGATCTGACAAACCACTATTACCGTGTTTATATGTCAGACGATCGTTGGCGGATGTTCCCAGCCATCGGCACAGCAAGGTCTCTGTGTCGTGACCATCCCTGAGCGGGCACGGCGCATCGGGGTGGCTGTCAGCCGCTCCGAAAAAGGTTTTGGGGTGCCGGAGCGATGGCAGGACCCCACCTGTGGTGGGTATGGCCAGAGATGGCCCAAGTATGACAGCTGTGTTGGCTGTACAGTGCTGTAAAATAGAAGCAATTAGCTGAAGAGATTGGGACATAACCAAGGGCATAGCCACAGTTGGATGTTATTTAAAGAAGAGCTCCATATCCGCTGACATATAACAGCCTAGGTTGTAGTAATGTTTTTAAAATAAACTTTCCAGACCGGCGCTATGCAGTTTTTCATGCCTGTAGGGTTTTCCCTTTCTCTGCACGGTCAGTTCTGTTGAAAAATATTAAATTCCTGTAAAAGAAAACTCTCCTTTCCTGCTCACAGGACATGTTTCAAGTGATCTAACCCATGAGAGTAAAGACTCACTCAGAACATGGGTAGCGCTGGGTCACTATTTAGATACCCGCTTCATGAGTTAAATATTGAGAGGTGTCAGAAATGTGAATGGAGCTTTTACTTGAAAAAGAGGAGGATGTTTTAACTCGAGTGGTCACTGTGGATGTTAGATGACTGACGTGTGATTTAAGACTATCCTGGTCCTGATCTGGAGGAGAAAGTCAGAGGAACAGGGAATGGGAAAGGTTTGTTGTGCGCAGTGATGGGTGCTGGCTGATGGTCTTAGGGGGCTGGTTTAAAAAAGCCGTCAGAACATCACCTTTTGCCATCCGGATCTGGGCAGATCTCTTCAATACTATGCCCATATCTTCCTCGGGGAGAGGCTAGTCATGGACATGGTCTCAGTTTTAGGTCTGTCTCCTGCACCTAACTAAGCAGACATACCATGTTCTTTATCACTGGAAGAATATATTCACTGTTCTTCCCGCCTGAAAAAAAGGTCCCTCATCTCTTCAGCTTATAGGCACTGAACGTGGTTATGCTATGAGCACTGGGAGTGCTTTTTTAGTAACAAAGTATAAACACTCCAGCAAAGTACTGTTTAATATAAAAAATTTACGTCCTGCTTCCTTTGTTATGGTTGTGAGCACATGCTTTTGTTTAATTGGGGGTTCTCGAGTCCGATCCTGCTACTCTGCACCAAAAACCACCTCCGTTCACAAAATCCACTGGAGGCCAAGAGAAAGACGGGTTTTTTTCTGCTGGTGCCTTGCTAAAGTATTGGCAGAGTGTCACTGAGTGCCTGTCCCAGTGCTGCCGGCCAGCCAAGGCAAGCAGCGCACGTATGAGGAAAACAATGAGGACTGTTCAAGATGAGCTGGGTTGCTTTCCCTCCTGGGTCACCAAGTAAGCCCAGATCATTTGTTCTTTCCAATAAAATCAAATTGAACAGGATTAAAAAAAAGGTTAACCTTCTTTAAAATAGCAAGCCTTAAAAGGTTTGCCTGGTGTTTTTCCAAAGATCCCTTTCTTTGGTGGCTCTTTTGTTTCTTTGGTTTTTCTCCTGGCACTTGTGACCAGTGGATTTCCTGTGTTAGTTCATCAAAGGATTTCAAAAACAGAAGATCAGAGGTCTTTAAAAAGGAGTAAAAAATGAGGGCAGCTTTCTCCTTTCTATAGGGTCTGAGCTGTTCTTGTTGCTTTCCCCAAGGCACCCTAGGGTTGGGTGTTGAGGAAGATGCCTCCAGCACCAGGCGCGATCAGCAGGGCTCGGACCAGTTGTCACGTCCCGACTGTGGGATCCTGCAGTTGCTTCCTCTCCTAAATACAGGAGTTCAGATCTTGCTCTGAGACAGCAAATAGCAAATGTTACCTTTAGGCAGGCGCCGTATCTTGGTGCTTTCAGGTAGACTTCACTAAGTCATGACACCGAGAGTTATTTTCCAACAGCTGCTTGAAACTAAAATTAGGCTTCAGGCTGGTTTTAAAGGGTCATTTGGGTGTTTAAAGCTCTGTGCACATCCAAGCTGTCACCGGACACAGACGCGAGATGACTTGGCACACAAAGGTACCGATCTTGGCCTCCCACCACAGCAAAAGAAGTCCTGTGCTCTCGTAGCAGAGCAGTGGGACAAACGGCTCACACCGTCGCAAGCCGCTCTCCTGCTTTGCAGATGATCATCCGTCTGCTTGCCCTCTCCAAACTCTCTTGCTGCCATAACTGCCTCGTGCTGTGAAAACGGACCGTCGTGTTTTTATCCACGCTGCCGGGAGGCGGCAGGGTGTTGGGATGGTGCTGGGCATTGGACTTCTTGTCACTGTGTTACCTCATTAAAGAAATGGGAACGTATCATTATAAAAACAGCACTTTATAATAGGGTTTCATTTCTGTTTTTTAAGAGGCAATACGGAGCTCCTTCAGAACACTATAAACCCATTATAACCAAGATACATATGTGCATATATATATATATATTTAAAAAATAGAGAGTTTTACATATTGGGAGCTTGCTTATACTGTTTACAAGCGATTATGTGTATCTCACCAAATACTCTTTGCTGAAGGTGGTGCTCCCTGATTGTCTTTAGCTCATGGTCTGCTGTGTCAGGTACCTCTGTAAAGAGCTATTTGACTGGTGGCAGGACTGGGCTTGTACCAACTCAACCTCCGAGCACTATATAGCGTACACGAGGTGCCTGGTCTTCTGCCAGACTGCTTGCAAGTCTGCTGCGCCCCTTTGCTTACTGTATGCTGTTGTTTCCAGAGCTTGCCAGAACTGTACCGCTTACCTGTTTTCCCTGCGGAGGCAGGTAGTTCATCCTTTTAAGGAGCAATGTGTCCTACTCTGCTGTTTCTTAGGATGATTTCTGTTGGCCAAAAGATGCTGTAGAAGGAAACACTGCTTGTTTGGTATGCTTCTGCCCCTAGGCCAGAGCCCTGGCCGTTCCATAGGTATTTAGAATAATGAAGCTGAAGGTTGTCTGTCTCCCTTCACAGAAAGGTGCTGGATATCATCTGGATTTGTTCTGGGTGGCCATTCTGATGATCGTATGCTCCTTTATGGGTCTGCCCTGGTATGTTGCTGCTACCGTGATCTCCATTGCTCATATTGACAGCTTGAAGATGGAGACAGAAACTTCAGCCCCTGGAGAACAGCCCAAGTTTTTGGGAGTGAGGTATGTCAAACCAGAAAGGCCTTAATTGCCTCGTTTGCCTGCAAAGATCAGTTTGTACTATAAATGGTCTTGCTTCGAGCAGGACACGTGTAGAGGTTCAGGGGGAATAGCTCTTAGATTTGCTGTAAATCTTCAGATCAGCTGCTTCCTTACAGCTTTTTTTTGTCCGCAGAGGATATGTCTAGTTAGGAGTTTATCTGGCGTAGCCCTTTTGTAAATAGTCTCTCCTGAAAAGGAAGAAAAACGTTGTACTACCTGCGTGCCTGTAGACGGTGGAGAGCCTGTGCAAATGTGTGGCAGCGAAGGGGAGGAAAGGAAGGAAACTTTGCACTGGAGCTTAGACCATTTCTCGGTCTGCTTTGGGCACGCACGTTGAAGTCACCCCCAAATACACGAAGCTTAACAGAGCCAGCTCTGGTGCCCGTTGGACGCCGCAAAGTTGTCGTGAAGAATTTTGTGCTGCTTTCTTTGTATTTCCAAACCCGGCTGTGAGATTGAGCAGTGCAGGTCTCTGGCAATTCCTTGGACAAATCCCCATGTAACTGCTCAAAAGTTTATTCGGCCAGATCAGACATAGTTTTCCAGTGTTTGAGAAAGGAGAGAAATTTACTGCAGATTTCTTTATCCATGGAAATTAGACAGGCATTCATTAGCAAACATAATGGTAAAAAATGTAAATCTGTCATGCCTAGAGCAATCATCTCTACTTAATCAAGCCATTTTTTCTGTATTTGGTTGCCTTAATTAAGTGGTCTGAAGTGCTTTCAATAGGAGCACTTCTGGAAATCAGGCCACTTGTTTAGGTGACTAAATAGAAATTTAGTGGCCTAACTCCCAGTACTCCAAAATACTACTGGCAAAAGTATTTTTGGATGTAGGGAGCAGCTCTGGGTGCCGATGAAGGCACATGTTCAGCACCCCACCAAGGCCTGGACCATTTATCCAACTGCTGGAGTACTATGACCAGGACTCGAAATATGCTGCTAATCTAGGAGCGGAGAGCTAATGATTTGTTACCTATTTGCATGCTTTAAATACTGCCGTGCAGAGAATTTGGATTGCTAGTTAACAGTGTCTAATGTTTAACGTGTAAACACGCTCCTCCTTACTCAGTAGCAGTATTCTGTTGATCCACAAACAGCGGAGCTAAGGCAGCCTACAAAAACCGACCTGGTGTTTGGAAAAAGAGGTGTCTGAGGCTCGGTCAGGATCAAGATACCTGCCTGATGCTGTTGGTTTGTAATTGCCAGTCTGCTTTGAAAATGTGGCTGCAAGAACGAGTTGTGAGGCTTTATGTTGGTTTGGGGTACTCTGAGAGGGAGTAAAACCGGAGTGTAAGCTGAAGCCGTCCTGCTCACCTAGACATTTTGTTTCAGGGAGCAGAGAGTCACTGGAGTCATCGTTTTCATTCTGACCGGCGTGTCTGTCTTTATGGCTCCCATCCTGAAGGTAAGGACATCACCTTTTCTGCTTGCTTCTGCTCACACAGCCAAAGTAGGGCCACAGCAACCATCAGGCTGTTTTTATGCTGCTAAAAAAGCTCATCATTGAAGTGTGGGAAAGGAGATCAGTGAGAATTACTGATGCAGTTTTACAGTTTTCTGGAAGCTTAAACACAAACCTTTTGGAAGGAAAAAAAGAGCATCATCGTAGTGTGCTAGGTAGTAATAGTGTAGTGGCGAAGTTCAGGGCTGGTGGTCTTGGGGGCGGTGATTTTTTTCATTTTAAGATTTTTCTTCCACGTTTGCATAAAGTTAAGTTTCCTGTTATTCTGCAGTCTTAACGCTTCTGCTGTGCCTGTGTTTTATGGAAAATATATTGCAGATAAAGCTTAAGAGCCTACTGGTGGCATGACGGAAGGATGATTGGCAAAGCAGTAGAGTTGCTGTGTGGAAGACACAGGTTAACAGATGGATATGTAGTTTTAAAAGTACATTTGCGTTTATTTGAGTGCACGCACATCTTAACACACATATGTGAAGAAAATCTTCATGTGGTGCTTACTCATAGACTGCATGCATGGCCCACTGAGAGGAGGGGCTTTTGTTGAGAGAGAATACGGAGAACTGGTGGCGATGAGCAGAGCCTACAGCTGATCTATTAGTCCACGGGTACAGTTTCGGCCGAAAATCTTTGGCACCGTTGCCGCTGCCGTAGCGGAGCTGTACCCTGCGTGGTGCAGCTGCCGAGGCACACGCCTCAGCGGTGCGAGGCTCCTGCAGCTTGCCTCGCTGTTTTTAAAAAAGCCAGCACAACAATCAAATTTTGACTCTTTTAGGCTGGATCATCCCCAAATAGCACATCCCCTATCGCTCAGAAGCGATGCCCAGCACAGCAGTATGGAAAACGTATTTCTGGAGGAAGCAGTGCAATTAAATGTGATTTCTTAATCTCCTGCCGTTTTTTTCATATGAGTTTAGCCAAGGATCTGGACAGATGTGCTGCTGATGTACCATTTAATCTAGGTAGTTAGCTGTTTTGCAAGACTTGAAATTTGTTGGCACGTAACCACAGAGGAAAGCATCCTTAGTGGATCATCAGATCGTAAAAGCAAACTGGAAAACCTGCTTATCCGTGTCTTGTGGAGGATACTGCCTTCTCCAGGGATGATGATTTAAGTGGAGCCAAGTGCAGGCATACTGTGCAACGGGAGATGTCAGCGGCAGAAGTCCATCTCCATGGGTCTGTAGACCAACGGTACGAGCAGAAGATGTCAAAACAGTAACATACGTACTGAAACAGTGGCCCCGTGCATCGTAACTCCGTAACGGAGCAGAGGGGTGTCGGGAGAAGCGTTTCTGGAGGAGGCACACGAGGTTTGGTTGGAAGCTGCGGGGGCTGTGAGGCACAGTTAGATGCGAGCCTGGAAGGGAGGAGGCAGGCAGAGAGCAGTGACGCTGCCTTTGTATAAAGTGGAGAAAGTGGCCTTACAAAGTCATTGTGTTCCTACTCTTGATTTCTAAGGTTGTTTTTACAACTAGCAAATGTTTGTGTCATGGTAACAGTTTCCTCCTCTGCACAAACAGGCATTTCCGTGCCCTTAATTTAATGCCGGATTGTAATAATTCTGTTCGTTAGTTCATGTGACCTTTCCCTGCAAGATCTCTCTTTCTCTGTTCCACTGGGGTCTATTATTTCCCCTATTATTGCTTCATTCATTAATTATTTGTCTGTGCTTCCCCTAAGAACGCCTATGGGGAAGATCCTCGCGGGAGGACGCCTGAGGATAAATCGGCACGCTCCTCGCCCACGTGCCAGTGAGAAGTACCTGGCAGTGTTTCAGGACCTTTAACAAACTCCGATGGCAGGGTCTCCTGCTCGAGAGGACTGCTTTGCTAAATGCATTGCAGAACATTTAAGGCTTCTCATGCCAGCGGCAAATTGAACACTAACGATCCCAAATTCAATAAAACAGGCAATCCACAGAATAATCTCATCTTTGTTTTTTGTGGGTTTTGCGGTGTTTGTGCTGGTTTTGAACGTCCCTGATGTTTCTGCTCAGTTATGGCAGATCTCCACAGAAACATCCTCAGCCCTGCTAGGATAATGACAAGCACTTTCCTATAAATACATTTTTAATTCTGTTGGCTAGCAGCAGGTTTGCTCGGAGTGCCTGAGCCAGCAACCCCATAGTTAGTGAATACTTTGCCAAAAGAAAGTCTTCCAAAATGAATGCGCTGCTTGCTACTCTGCAGGATAATGTACTGAAGTTTCACCTAAGGATGATTTACAGGATTAATTATTGTGGAATGATGAAATAATATTTGAACATTTGCCTTTTTTTTTTTTTTTTTTTTTGAAACACAGAAAGAAATAGAAGGGGAGGGAAAGAGAGCAGTGTAAATGAACTAGAAAGCTAAACTCTGAAAGCCTCCTACCCAACTTGCCGAAGGAGATGTTATCTTGTCTCGTCTAATCCCTCAGATCCAGTGAGGGCTTTGAATCCCTTGGACACTCACAGCTACGTGAACCACGTGCTGGCTCCCCATCCCTCCCCACGACGGCACACGGTGAAGGCAGACAGTTGAACTGCGGAAAATTTGGCTTCTAATGTGAAATATCACCGCAGCTCACTCAAGGAAGCAAATAAATCCAACAGAAGGATGAATTAGCAATCGAGAAGCTCGCAGGAGGCGATAGGGAATGAGACTCAGGGGAGAGAAGGGAAAAATGTAGGCAGGGAAGCTTTGCTCTCGGATGCCCCAGATGAAACGTATGTATTCAGGATCAAGGCCTCCAGGGATATGTGCATGACACTGTGTTTCTGACCCAGGAATAATGCGGTGGGGAACACGATAAAACACAGAATAACTGCTGTGTTATTTGCCTCTTCAGTGAGTTACACGGACGGGTTGGAAGACAACCGGTTCCTGCAGCGGCGGTGCTGGCCGCAGGTTGCGTGGGAGCCTGGGCTGTGCTACGGCTGCCGTTCAGTGGCGGCCGCCCGTCACTGCACAAGGGCTTTCCTTCGGCGACCGTGGCCGAGCTCTTTCCATCCTTCTCGGGTTCAAATAAATCCCACAAAGGCCGTTATTCAGCTCCCGCGTGTGGTTTCTGCCCAAGAATTCCCGTTCACGCCACGCCACGCTGGCTGCGGACAGTTTCGTGGTGGGGCCGAGGAGCGCTTCCCCCTCTTGGCAAGCGGCGTGGGGGGGTTTGCCGTTGAGGAAAGCTTTGTGCTTCAGGTCGGAGGGACAGATCGTCATTCTGGGGAGCGTGTGTGTTGTTACTGTGCGCCTTCCTCGCTTCTGAAGGAAGGTGACGCTGGTGGCAGGACCGGTGATGGAGGAATGAGCAGCACTTAGCCCTCGAGGGAGCAGAAATTGATGTTTGAAAGGTCGGTTCCTGGCAGCGAAGAAAGTAACTCACGGTCCCGTATTCGTGATTAGTTATGGATTAGTGCGAGTGAAAGACGGAGCGGTCGGAGATTTGATTGGCGTGACTGTCATCACTGAGGTGGGACTCCAGAGAAGAGCCTTTCTAGATGGATTTCCATGGCTTACTGAGCCGGCTGTACCGCAGGACCATGCTGCCTTTTCTTCTTCTCTACCTTCTGCTTCTAGTCTCACCAGAAACCAAGAGGTGAAAAGCAGTTCGAAGCTTACTGAAACACGTTTACCCTGCCTCTTCTTTAATTTTCTGACTGCCTGGCACCGGCTGGCTTCGTTCCCTTTGGTTCTTGGAGAGAACGTCCAAGTCTCAGCGAAGCGGGAGAGCCCAGAGCGTGTTTGGCCCCTGCCCTGCTCCTCAGCCCTCCAGCGATTGCACAAATGTCCTTGCGGCTCTCAAAACACAGCAGAAGGGTTGCTCGCTTGATTGCTCTGCCTTGTGCGCTCGCAGGGGCAATTCGAGTCGACGACAGGCTCGGAATTTCGCGTGTCCCCTCCCGCGTGTTAACGGCGGATGGTGCGTGGGGAGGTTGTTCACTCAGTTTTTCTTCTCTTCTCTCCCCCCCGCAGTTCATTCCCATGCCCGTGCTCTACGGCGTCTTCCTCTACATGGGCGTCGCGTCCCTCAACGGCGTGCAGGTGGGTCTTCTCCGGCAGACGGCAATCCTTAACCACCGTGGGGTGTCTTTCGCAACCCTCCGGCCTTTCCCTTCTCCTTCCCCGCCTCCTTTTCGTTCCCAAGAAACCCCCGGGGAGGGTAGCAACTGCTGACAAACATTGCCGCAGGCTGGCTGTCCTGAGATGGAGACCCAAGGGGCAACGCTCCGCTCAGCAGGAGAGCAGCCAAGCCTGGCCCCTGTAAGCCACGAGGGGTCCTCGGTGAAGACCCGGGGTCCATCTTCCCCAGCGTACGCCTCCAGAGACCCCGGGCTCGCTCCCGGGATGTTCAGGTCCTCTGCCGGGGCGTCCGTCACAGACGGAAGGGAAACGAGGGAAGGTGATTTACGGCGGCGGGGTTGTTCGGCGATGTTAACGAGCGGGAACATTGCTGTTCGCCGGGGAGGGGAAGCCAAGCCCCCTTCTTTGTTGTTGAGGAAATATTACGTAAAAAGCCTTTCTCACAGCACAGTGTCTGTAATTGGCCCTAGGAAGCTGGAAGTGGTTTTGTTGCTTTCTGGCACCCTATTAATTGTGGCCTTTCTTGTTAGCGCTTGGTTGTGCTCTAACGGGAAAAGACTGCCTGTTCTGTGCGCACCATGAGAATTTCCTGGGGTATTCTTTAAAACAGCCCCAGCTTTCATTCACGGGTGTGAGATCAACCGGGTCTCAGCAGCAGGCAGCAATCCCGCGTTCGGGCAGGGGACAAGGAGGGGATTGTAATGTTCGCCCCGGGGTCGGTTCTCCTGGAGGGGATTTCCCCTGCTTCCCGACCCAGGTGGTCAGGGGACTGGGCAGCTTGTTTTCCTCCCATCAAGGATGTTTTTCACTTGATGAGAAATCCCGATTTTGGTTTAACTCCAAGTCCATCCTGTCCAGCACAGGGGCAAGGGACACGGCTGGAAAAGCGGCCCATCTTCCTCACTCTTCGGTTAGGTGCCTTTCTGTTCTCCACTGATGTGAGGTCTGCCCTCACCTCTGTTGACCTCTGCTCCCAATTTATTTGGGGAAAAAAATAACCCATTGATTTTAAATGCTGAATGTCTTTCCTTGGCAGGAGCGGGGCAGAGGAGGGTGGCAGAAGTGACCCAGAGTTTGATGCTGCCTGTAGTTTGGGCATTCATCTTGTTTTCTCTGTTTTGTGGGTAACAAAGTGCTGCCTTCGAGAGAAAATTCCCTGTGGCCGCAGCCGCAGCAGATCAGGCCCATTCTCTTGCAGGCAGCAGAGGATTTCCACCGATGCCTTGGTTCCTTGGTTTACACGCTGATCGCCAGAGCACATGGAGTCCTGCTCCTTAAAATAAAGGCACCTGAATGCTTTGCTTTGAGAGATGCTTTGCTCCTGTGTCTCTGTTTAGTTGCCGAATATAGTGTAGACCCAGGACCTTCACTTGAGATGGCTGAGTTAACGTGTTTAGCCCATCCTGCGTTAAGCACAAGTCAGCCAGGGTAGAGGAGCTGTGCTGGGTTTTCTGCTGGGTTTCTTCTATGGAAGGGAAGCAAGTTGATGCAAGGCCACACTTCATGGCAGAATAATGCTTTTGTATCTCTCTTTTGTGTACCCTGGGTGTCGTTTAAATGTCGGTTTCTTTTCCTTTCCAGTTCATGGATCGTCTGAAGCTGCTCTTGATGCCTCTAAAACACCAGCCTGACTTTATCTACCTGCGCCACGTCCCGCTGCGCCGGGTCCATCTCTTCACCTTCCTGCAGGTGGTGTGCCTGGCCCTCCTCTGGATCCTCAAGTCCACCGTGGCTGCTATCATATTCCCTGTCATGGTAGGTGACGTTCTCCTTCACGTCCCTGCCTTTCGCAGCCTGCGCCTTCCACTCACGGTCATACCCTCCCATGGACAGGCAAATCCAGCCTCTCCCTGTCAAATCCCTAGCTTGGGGCTCTGCCTCCATTCATGGCACTGATGTAGGACTACATGGGGTCAGCGTTGCCGTGGCTGCCTTTACATAAATCCTCTGGAGGAAAACGAGCCTGGAAAGTTAATTTTTTGCCAGAAAGGTGTAGTTAGCCTTGAGCGTTCCTGGCTGCCAAGGTTAGATTTGCCATGTTTTCTCCCTGAGCTGCACGAACGAATGAGAGGTGCGTAGTTTCCCTTTTCTAGTCCACGCTAATTACTGTACAGAAGATGTCTCCCTTGCTTTTTAAATAGCACAAATTGACAAAAGCAAGAATGAGGCTCACTGCTAAGAGGAGTGCCAAATGGATGGAAAGGATTAGCTAAATCAAGAACAAAAAAAGGAATGTCTTTTTCTTGAACTTGAGTAAAAAGATAATAATGTTGATACACGTGTTTCACATTGGAGGATGATATGTAAGTTTATAGGATGCATGTCCTCTATCTAATAATGCATATCAGAGTCATGTGAAAACTTATTTTGGATCTTGAGAGATAAAAAGTTCATCACACAAAAGAACTGTTTCTTAAATATACACTCTGCAGTCAGTCTGATATAGTATTTCTACATCAAGGAAGGGGAATAGTGAAGCAGCTCCCTGTGCGTTTAGATTATTACTAGAGGTATGGACAGAATTAGACCCTTATACCAAATAAAAACCAAACAAGTGTTGAGGGAAGTTCATATGTACACTTTGCCTAGGGCTTCAAAACCTGTGACCGTGGACCCTAAATGAGGGAGCACGGAGTAGATCCTTCTCCACCTCTGCACCTGACGTGTAGCTCAGCTGGAGCAGTTGGGAGGAAGGTGGCCGTAGGGCCAAACGGATGGAGCGTGGATCCCATGGGACCACAGCTGCACGCACAGCGGTTCTGCCGAGTCTGCTCTCTGGCTTGGAGATGGGTCAGGCTGCTGCAACGTCAAAGCTTCATGAAAGTCCCTTAAGAAATCTGGGCCTAATGTCACCTACTTTCAGGTTTACGGACAAGTAAAATTTCAGTTGCAGGTGCACTTATGAACTGCAGTGCTTATTTAAGGGAGAGAAGGAGGGGAAGCAGAAAACAGAACAAGGACAAGCATTTGTTCTCTGATGCTGGTGAAACGAGGAGAGAAAAGATGATGCAAGTAAAAAAATCCTCCAAATGTTCTTGCTGGGACACATGCTCATATATAAAGGCGTTAAAAATCAGCAGTTCCCACTGACACGCCATTCCATTGCATTTTCACGGCTGTGTTGTACTGCTGTTGAAAGCTGAATCTAATATCTGGACACTCTTTCTCTTTGTCTGTAATAGAGAGAATCTGAGCGAGCCCCAAGTCTGCTGAAGTTTGTTATAATGGTGCAAATTCAGTGTAGGTACAGTCACAGCTTAGATGTAGCTGGATCTGATGACGAAACCTCAATTATTTGCACTCGTGAACAAAAAGACTATAAATGTCCAATTTGTGAAGATCCAGCCAATAGCCAAACCTCTGTTTCTTTGAATGAAAAGCACTTTCAATACAGATGTAATTCATAACGGGATAATCATGGGCGTCTACATGGTATCTTTCCACCCCTGAGTAATTTCTTGCTTCCGTAATCACATCTTAAGTTACGCAAGTCAAAGCTTGAGATCCTTTCCTAGGAATCGTTTGTGCCATAGATCATCATTGCTCAGAACAAGCTCTTCACCTTAAAGGCAGTCGTCAGTTGTCGGGAATGGGTTACATCTTTTAGTAGCCAAGTCGAGCTTTCAGTCTGTCGGTGTAGCCTTTGGTGAAGTGTACGTGTGATCTTGGTAGGCGTCTGGTGGCAGTGTTCAACCCAGCGTCAATGTAAACACCTCTTTCAGACATGTCCCTTCTATTTTTTCCCAGTGCCTTTGATGGCAGTCTTGTACAGAAAAAGCTTTTCCTCCAGTTTCATGCAGCCACAATCCTAGTAAACTTTATTCTGCAGACTTCGAGGACACAGTTTGGCCTTTGTCTCATTTCTAAAGAGTTCTTATATCTGGGGAAGTGGCGAAAAAAAAGTAAAGACAATTACTCAGGCTGCCCCTGTGAACTTGCGTATGTAGGCTGAATCAAAAAATAAATGAAAATAGTCTTTTTTTTTTCTCTCTTTGTTGTTTTGCCTGATGCCTGTCAGTTGGATGTTAAAAGATGACCTTTGTCTCTACAGGAGTATTAAGTGATTACTTACTTTTTTCTGTGTGTTGCTCCTGTTTATTGTGGCATGAAGCAGTCACAGTTCAGACTTTCAAGTTGATAGAGATATCCCAGGTGTTCACCTTGTTCTCTTTATGTTCATTTACAACCAGAATTAAAACATGTGGGATGAAGAAGCAACATCAAGAGGAATGCACAGGGTGTTCCCAATTCAAGGTAAAATGTGACTGAGAAGTCCCTCTCTGCCTTTTCAGATCCTGGCACTTGTAGCAGTCAGAAAAGCCATGGACTACCTCTTCTCCCAGCATGACTTAAGCTTCCTTGACGACGTCATTCCAGAAAAGGACAAGAAAAAGAAAGAGGATGAGAAGAAGAAGAAAAAGAAGAAGGGCAGTATGGACAGTGACAATGATGATGTAAGGAGCTTTCTGCTCTTGTCAAATTACTCATTTCTAGCTAGCTAATCCCAGGGGACGGTCCATGCCCCTTGCCAGCTCTGGGGCTGGGGATCTCCCAGCCTCTTTTGAAGCCGACCAGCTCAGTCTTTTACTGCTGCAGCAAGTCGGCCCCAAACAAAACTTCTTTTCTAGATTGCCTTCCCTTTTCCAGACGTCACCAGCCTGTGGTAGGTGGTACTTGCATTGCCAAGAATGAAATCACACTTTCCACAAGAGCCCTAGATACCTGCTGAGATGTCATGCCCTTTGCTAGAATGCCTTTCATCACCCTGTCTTGTTCATCTTTCCCTCCTCCGCCTTTCTCCCCCGTCATTGTTTTTTACGTTTTAGGAGGAGAATGGTTTTCGCCAGCAGCTCTGTTATTTCTGAACATACTCTGGTTTTCTTTTTTTATATTCTTTTAATTACTCTTTTTAAAAGCACAGAAAGATGTGACTTGTCATATTGCAGGAAAGACTGCTTTCTCTTGATAATACTCATGACCTAAATATTTTCAAAGCATATGTGCCCTTCTGCAGTATACTCTGGTCCTACCTCAGGTTGCAGCATGCCCTAAAATAGTGACACATAGCTGCTTATGTCTTTACTAAGTGTGGTGACCTGACTAGACCAGATCCACGTGCCTTAGACTGCTCTATTTTTTATGGTATATATATATAAGAAGAAATGTAGTCCTCGTGCCTTTAAACATTCTCCTACCCAGGTCTAGCAGGAACTCAAATCCTATAAATTTATGTCGAAGTGCTAAACACACTGGTTATATAGCACTTGGTATAGCAAGTGTGAACTGCCTTCGGAGAGCTGGCTGCCTCGGTCAGCATTACCTTTTGCAATGTGAAAAGGGAGCTAGGCTTTAATAATTTTAGGCTACGCGGAGAGCAGTAAGCAGAGTGTCGCTTGTTCTGCTGATGTGACCGTCCAGGGTTCGTGAAGAAGGGCTTGTCCTGTGATGTGGGCAGAGGTAAGATCACCCTGTGATAGTGGTAACAGTGACCTCCCCAAGAAATTTGTCTGCCTGGAGAGCTTCTCGCGGCAAAACGTGAAAGTGGCCGCGCCGCTGCCGAACCGGAGGGTCAGGGGTGCCGTGGGGTGGTTGTGCCTCGCCGTGCTTTCGGAGGGTTTCTTAGGTTAAATCAAGCTGAATCCCAGCCGGGAAGGTTGGCTCTTATTTCAGACAGCAAACTCCCCTTTCCAGTCATTCCTCCAGTTCCTGGGAGGCCGAGGGCAAGGGTTTCCTGCAGCAGATAACTTTGTGCAAACTGAAATGAGAGAAAGCGCCCTACTGTACATAGCGAATAGTCAGCAAAGGTTTGACTCCATCCCCTCCTCTTGACCGATTTGAATCCAGCAGCGTCCTATCCCGAGCCGTGGCTCCCGTATTGCTGGTATGTTTTAAGCTTTCTCCTCTCTTCTCAGGCTTTTCATTAAGTTCATGTACAGTAATTGATCTAATGGGTAAGAGATTTTACGTAAAATGTTGGTTCTTAACTCTTCTTGGGGTTTTTTTTCAGCACTTGCTTTTACCAGCTTCCTGAATGTAAACCACTTGACATTACTGGTTTGCTTGTTTTCACCCTTTCCCTTCCAGAAATATGCCCCCACAAAGTTAGGGCTGTGGGATTTGGCGGGCAACACACTGAACAGAGTTCAGCAAAGAGAATTGCTGGGTGGTGCTATTGCAAGTGGTGTTAGATGAATGAGTACAGCAAAACCTGGCATTAGTGGAAACTGCTCTCAGCGCTAGTTAAGACTCACCTAAAGTTCTCACTGGGGCTTTGCTAGCAATCAGGGGCAGCGAAAAAGGAGCTGCAAAGAAAGATTTTCAGTAATCTCACCATTTTTCCCTCCAGCGTGTCTTCACAAAGTGTGAATTAGTGCAACTAATTGCTGCATTTGCCTAATGAAAACTCAAGGGCCTTGATTTTCTTTCCAATTTTATGTCAAAAAATGCAGTATCCAAGAACGGCCAGACAGTTTTTTCAAAAAAATCTCGGGCTAGTATATTTAGTTGCAGAGTCAGAAGTGCTGTGTAATTAATGGTCTCTGCTCCCCTTCAGGGCATTTTCGCTGACTGCAGATGCTTTTTCCATCTCTCTGTTCATTTTAGATGGTGAAGTTTGAAGTAGACCCTGAGCGTCAGCATTGCCATTCCACAGACCTCTTACATTTATTTATTAGCACTGAAACGCTGTCGTTTCGAAGATGTCCAAGAGGTTACCCAGCTCTTATGCTCTGCTTACAGCATGGCCCCAAATGGATGGGGGACCTTAAGACGGCTTTATTGCCTCAGTGCTTTTCTGCGAAATCATCTTTGTTTGAGCTATGTTTATCCCTCAGCCTCGTAAAAATACTCCTGAGGAAGCTTTTTGCTATTGGAGTGTGAAATACCGCACTGGGTGTCAGTTATGTTAAAAAATAATTAAAAAAAAATAAATAAAAATCCAGGGAGAGCGATTCTCTGGCCTCTGTAATGTTGTCATGCCCTGACTTGAAGGTCTCCCTCCCTCCACCCCAGCGTTACGCTCAGTGCTGTGTCTAGTTGTCTCCAGGAAAAAAGATGCGTTAACGTTTCTGGCAAGTCTCACCTTGCTTCCTTTGCCAAGTTATGCAATATCAGCCTTTCCTTGGTTATGAGAAGTTACTTTTATTTTAAAAAAGCAAAATAATTCCAAGTACCTTGTCGTGAGTGTCAGCAGGTGGATGATTGAAGCCGGCGGGGTATAAGTGGTGCTGGTACCCAAACGCCGGGCGACCCTGCGTACGGCTTTTCTCTGCACTTGTGCCTCTTCTTGACCGCTTTGCTCTTCCTCCTGCCTGGCTGGGAGTACCGAATTCTTACAAGGGCCCTGGATTTGATGAACTATTTTACTGTAAATAGAGGTGTAACTGAGACTGGGTTTGACTCAACTCAAATAAACAGGGGAGTTGAGACAGTCCAGCTTAAGGAACCTCTGCCATATCGTGTCTGGCCCTCGTCCTTGTAGAGCAATTGGGAAGAAAAAAGGGGTTTGAGAGAAATCACAGCAGGATAAAACATTTTGATGAGCTTTCACAGAAGCCAGTGCCCTGCTATTTCTGCCTACGAATGCGTTTTTGCATCTGTATTTCCTGCAGCCAACTCCAAGCTGAATTGGATGGTGTCTTATAAGCTGGTGGCAAAGGAGCTGGTGAGGTGGGGAAAGGGGAAGATAACGATTACACAAGGTTGTTCTTTAAATCCGTTTTACTCTCGTAGTGTGAAGGAAGAGGGAAAGTGGGGTGCAGTGGGGAACCAGTGGAAACCAGCGGGCAACTAAGCTGGAGGATGCTTTTTTATTTTTTCTTCTTTTCTTTTCCTCATTCCTACAGAAACTATATGAAGCATGATTTTAATTTGTGGGAGACAATAAGAGAGCGAGCAGTGAAAATATTCTAAGACCTTTTACACGTTTCTTTCACAGTCTGACTGCCCCTACTCAGAAAAAGTCCCAAGTATTAAAATACCAATGGACATCATGGAGCAGGAACCTTTCCTAAGTGATAGCAAACCTGCTGACAGTGAGTAGAACTAACCTCTTGCATGCCTGACTTGCAGTACAAAAATATATATATATATATTTAGAGTGATTTTTTTTTTTTAAATTAAAAAAAAACCCTTTCCTATTACTTGAGAAGTACTTTTTCTTGTTCTTTTTTTTCTCTTTTTTAATTTCCAGGCCTCTGATTTATGACAGATTTTGGTTTTGTGAGCTTTTTTCTTTGCTCTTTACAAAATTGTTGTTGTTCCTTCTGGTGCCTCCAGCTTAAGCGCTTTTATCCAGCTACTAACAGGTCTCTTGGCCACTCACTCTCTCCTCCTCTCTTTTCTGACCTTTCCCATTTTGTGTTAACTCTGCTGATGGTTTGAATTTTTTTTTCCCCCCTCTGAGCCTAGTGTTCTGGATTTGCAGCATGTCTAAACTGCATCGCTGTCCTGTTACTGTTTGTTTCCTTAGGTGCCAAGCAGTTGCAAAAATCAGCGCTTAAAAGAGTAATTAAGCGTGTCATTGATCCGCATTGCGCATTAAACTGACAAGGCAGTGATCAGTTGACCATTAACGTATTTCCCTTCTTAGGTGATTTGCTTTTGTGCTATTCTGTTTCTTTTTAATTTCTTACGTTAATATCTGTAATTGATTAGGATGATCTTCATTTTCAGTCATTTTCACGTTTCATATTATAGTCTTTTAAGTGAGGAATCGGGAATAACAACTGACCTCAGCTTTTCTGCCTTTATGCTGACTTTTTAAAATACCATGAGCAATGGGTGCTACCTGGAGATAAATACGCTGTTTTGTTGTGAGACAGGAGGGGAGAAATATGAATTATAGTAATAAGTGAGTACTGCTGCAAGGCTGGTGATTTCTAGGAGTAGGACCTAAACCCACAGATCTCGAGATCCTTAAACTCTCCTTTGCATTTAAGAGTTGGTACCCAAGTCCCCTGCCTTTCGGTGGCGTTTAGGTACCTTGGGCAATCCTAAGCATTGCTCTGTGGTTTTTAGGTACAGGAACACTTAAAGATTGGCATTATAAAACAAAGCCAAAGAGAAAGGGACGTTTCCCTGACTATTTAGATATTCTCAGTGTTTTGCTGATAAGGAGAAGAAAAGGAGCAAAATCAGGCTCAGACAACCAAACAGGTCCTCCTAATTTTTCTGTAAAAATGCACTGACGTGCTAAAAATGAATTGCATCCCAAATGTTGTTATACGGGATTTTATGATCAGGTGCGTTGTTTTCAGCATCTTTAAGGCTGAAATAGTTAAGGAAAAGTTAATTCTGCCGCAAACCTGTTTGTTGGAATGCTCTTGGAGACAACACAGGCTAAATCACCCATGAGCCAAGGAGTAGTTGGTTTGCGTATTTGTACGTTTTTATAATCCAGTAATTGATTTGCTAGTTTTTAGTCAGAAACAAGGCAAAAAAAAAAAAAAAAAAGGGGGAAAAAGAAGAAAACCAGGCCCTTGGATTAGAAAAAGTAGCTGGAATCCAGCAACACTGTGGTGTTGTCCTTAAATATTAACTACGCTCTGCGATTCAAAGTATATTACTAATAATACTACTAACATTAGCTTTCCTTCAGCAATAGCAGGAATAGGTTTATTATTAACAGAGAGTATGCTTCCCCACGTTGGGTCAGGAAAGGAAAGCCGTTACAGGCAACAAACCACCTATTTTCTCGCAAGGCGTTTGGGTGCGACAGTGAGGAGCGCAGGGTAGCTAAAGAGGTGTAGATGAAAGGTAAGTGGTGAGACCTACAGGTGGTGAAAGTCTTGGGAAATTAGTCTTTTGGTCGTGTTGGCAGTTCCAGGGTTTTTATCTCAGAGCAGAGAGAGAGAAATTGAGAGTTTTTATTTACAAGCTGTGAAATTCACCTGGCAGGCAGGCAGCAGTAAAAAAGCGTTGCCAAATAGATGAGAGTGTACCTGAGAAACTGAGGCTGGGCTTGAGAAGCCGTCCGTGCTGCAGGCAATGACAAGCAAGACTTTGTTCCCTCCCCGACAGGAGAAAAATCACCAACATTCCTTGAACGCCATACGTCGTGCTGATACAATTCCTTTCCTTCAGTCACACACCATGCCAAGGTAAGCACCCAAAAAATGCGCTTTATAATGATTCCTCAAAAGCATCTCAGTACGCCGAAAGTCAACGAGGCAAAGTTTCTGCCCCCCTATAGGAAACTCTTAAAAAGCACTTTGACAGTATTCCCTGCGTTGGGTTGTAGCATCCCACGTTGATAACGAACACGGCCTTAACGGCGCGTGGGATGGGGAGCCTGAGGACTCTGCTGTTCTTGGTTAGACCCCACCTGCAGTACCAATGGCTGGTTCGGGGTCTCAACCAGAAAACAACGCAGAGCAACTGGGAGGAGTATAGGAAACGCGTCTACAGGGGGAAAATTAAATTAATTGGGATTGTTCAGCCTTTTAAAAAAAAAAGAGAGAGAGACAGCGAGAGAAAATTGCGGTTATGCTTTCCTTCAGTCATGTAACGGGATGTTGCAAAGAGGAAGTAATCCGTTTTCCCATGTCTGTGGTGGAAAATAGAGTAAATAATAACCTTAAATTGCCACAAGGAAGAGTTAAGGAGCAATTTCTCAGAGCTGCTCAGCCCCTTGAGGCCACCTTGGACCTCCCAGCGCCAGGAGTCGGGTCTCAACCAAGGCAGCAGTAGTCCTCTGAAATGTCAAAGAAGGATCTACACTTCCAGGTCTTAGAGAGCGTGTGAAATTAATCTCAAGGGCTATAACCGGATTATTTCAAAGGCATTTTATGAGCGTTGCCACAGCTTGGCGCGAAGCACAGGTTCTGGATACTTGGAGCTCCTCAGTCAATGAAATCGGTGGGTTTACCTCCTGACATGAGCAGTGTTTAGACCAACTCATTAAAATAATCTTACGTGATGTACAGGCCTTACCTAAAGAGCGGCTGTATGCTACCACCACCTGTCAAGGTTATTTACCTGGTATCTATATGGTGCCGGTTTCAGAAAGCTGTACAGCGTGAGCTAATGCGAGGGAACCGATCCTGGGAGTCGAGCGTTTGTTCCATTTCTCGATGTGCCACTGTCTGTTGGGCATCCCGCCAAGCCCTAGGATCTGCAGTTTTCCCAGTTCATGCCAGTCGCCCCTCTGTTTTGTTTGCAAAATGCTGGTTTTTCTCTCGCCAGCTGTGGATTATTCTTTTTTTTTTCAGGATTTGGTCACTGGGAAGCTGTGCTAGCAGAAGTCCTGAGCACGGCAGACCACGTTAAGAATTGGCCGAGAGGCCTGGAGGGAGTCCCCACGCTTACCTTGTCTTTCTCTTTCTTCACAGCCCTCCACGAACTCCAGTAAAAGTTGTGCCTCAAATTAGAATAGAACTTGAGCCTGAAGACAATGGTTATTTCTGGAGGAGCAAGGGAACAGAAACTACTTTGTAATTTGTCTGTCTGTTAAATCTTTTATGGAATTTATTTTGTCACTAGCCAAATATTAAAACGCTCTCTGCTCCCCACCTGCATAGGTAAATGAGACATCCCGCGCTGCCCCTCCGCCCTCGCCCCTGCGGATCTCCTCTGATCCCTCCTCACCCCGTTTTCCCACGCCGACCAAGACTCGTTTTGCCTTCTCTGTCGCTTTGTCGTGCACGCGTCTTTCTTGTTCGCAAGCAGAGGGCAGAAGTATTGAGGATATCACACCATACCCGCGGGGAGATGTCAGGGGAACTGGCATTACTTTAGTTGTGAATCCCTGTTTGTTTGTTTGTCCGTTTGTCGTCTGGCAGAACAAAACTGACCTCCGGGCTAATTGGATGTCTTGCTTACACTGCTCGAAGATGCTGGAAAGTGCTGCTAATACTAACTTGCTCTTAAAGCCTGTACTCGTAGTTAACAACAGGAAGGAAAAGGAAAAGGTACTTCACTCCCAGCACAGACAAACCATTGCCATCGTTGTAGCATGTGTTTTGAAATGTCCCTTTCCTATGCAATTTTTTTTAAAGAAACACTTTAATGGACTTAATCCGTCAGGTACATGGAAGAGTGTTATTTTCCTAGATTATTTTGTTTAAATTATGGGGGCCTAACCTATGACTTTTTTTTGTCAATTTTTTTAACCTTTTTTTAATTACTGTAAAGAGAAATGAATTTTTCCTGCAGCAGGAAACGTATAGTTATGAGTAGTTCTACCTCTTATTTCTAGATGCCAGGCTTTCTGTAAAAAATGTATTGTACCATATATAATGTGATTTTTAAAAAAAAAAAAAACAAAAAAAAACAAAACAAAAAAACAACCACAAAACACAAAACCACAACACCACACCACAATCTCCAGGACATGGCATAGGGCTGGATCGGTTTGATTAACACCTTCTACTCTGAAGCATCTGTTTTACTTAGGGTTATGTTATTTAATTATTTTTTTTAATAAGTAATCTAACTTCGCTATGAAGGAGATGGGATGTAACTTAAATCTCTTGTGATCTAGGAAGAGTCTTAAATGTAACGTTGGTAAGCGAAATGCTGACCAGCTACCGACATCAGTGGACAGATGCTGATTGTATTCATGTTGTTGATTTCCTACGTGGTATTGTTCGAGTTATTTCTCTTGAAACATCGGTGTGTGCGCGCGTGTGTATGTGTATACATGAGAAGACCCCGGGTGCGCTTCAGGCGCGATGACGGCGCGATGGAGGAGAAAGACAGCTGAAGACGGCCCACTGGGATGCTCATCCCGATGCTCGTATTCGCCAGGCTCAGAAACATCTGCATCCTCTAGCATCCCACCTCTGTTTACCATCGTCTACAGAATTTACCCTAAATCTTGACTGCTCGGTCCTAGATCCCGCCATCCGTACGCGGTGACGCGTCAATACCAAGCAGGGTAGGCACGGGCACGCCCGTGCTTTTGGTTTTAAACCAAGCGAGCAAATACCACCGTGGGAGAGATGATTTTTCTCTCTGTAGCATGTACACGTATGTACTTGTGTGTGCGTAGAAACGTGCGTTTGGGAAATTGGGCTTCACCGAGACATTTCTTTGATGACACGTGAGGACTACATGTAACACACTAAAAGCTTCATAAAAAAAAAAGAAAGCAAGAAAAAAAGCCCAGCTATAAGGGGCTAATTCCCCAATGGAGAAAATCCCACTGCAGAGGACAGGCGTGTTGCTACCACTTTTGTCCTTGCGAAACCAAAGTCCGTGTTGGTTAAGTAAACAGAATTTCATGATGGTGCTGAGACCTTACATGCCAAATTTTAGCGTCTACTCACTCGTAGTAGCCCGATCGGCAACGGGAGGTGCAGAACAGGGCTATTCTTTTCTTTCCCAGATGTGCTGTAGAAGCAGCTGGCCACCTTACTTTCCCAACAGCGCTTTGGTTAAAGGGTGAGTTGACGGGGACCGTGGTGGTTAGAGCTCGACCTGCCGCGAGCCGTCATTGCTGCAGAAAGACGATGGAGCTGCCGAGGCGCCCGCACAGCGCCGCACGTGCGCACACCTCCGTACATTCCCCGGCTCGTTCTCGAGGGGTCTCGCTTTTGGCTTACGAAAGGTGTGTCCGCTCTCAGATCGGCATCCCCGGCACCCAGCCCAAAACCCGCTTCCCAAAGCCTCGGGAGACGTCGGGAGCGGCCCGAAAAGGAGCGGTTCCGTGATGCTAGCTGGAGGACAGATAACCCGGGAAGCGCAATGCCGGCTTCAGCCGACGTTTCCCATCCCTTAGCGAACACAAGTCCCTGGTTCCCAGAGGGCAAACAGACTCGAGCGTCGGAGCTGCTTGTGTTTTACCTAGACCTTGGGTTTGTAGGAATCCCAGTGAACGGAGGGAGGAAAGATCAAACCAGATGAATGGAGAGGACCGGCTTTCTTGCTCCCGGTAGGCTTGGCGGGCAGGGTGCTGCACCCACGCAGCTTCCCATCTGCTGGCACCTGGTGATGCCTCTCCACAAAAATGAGGTCTTCCACTTCGGATCCGTGTTAAATGTACTTGAAACGTATTGACTGCTGATCTAGATCTTGCTCTTTTCTTTTTTCTGGTGTTTTTTTTATTTTAACCCAAGGGAGCTGTCATGCAGAGGGCGGCGTTGCTGAAGGGACAGGATAAAGGTTTCTGTAGCTTTCCATGAAAAACAGGCAACTCCGGTGACAGGAGCTGGAAATGTTCCCTTTCCTGGTGCCTGGCACTAGCACTTCATGGGTGGTTGTGTCTCTTTTGTTGGTTTTTCCTTTAAAAAACAAAAGAAAACCCAACGCAGAGAGAGCAACCGAGAGCTCTGCTGGCACCAGGCGTCGGCGGGCATCACAAGGGAAGTGTCGCTGCACTTCGTAGACCTCTGAAAATAACTAAAACTTCTTTTCAGTCAGAACTGGGTATTCTGTGGGAAAAGCCTGGGTGAGCACTTCTGGGCGTAGGCACGGAGACGGACCCAAAGCCCTCTGCGATCCGAGGCGGCCGTCAAGGAATGAACTTCCCAGAGCAAAACAAAACCAGGTCCCAACTCGCGGTGGGACCCCGTGGCAGCCACCAGCTGCAGCCAGCGTCGTCCCAGCCCCGGGAATGGGGTGGCCGTCTGCCTCTGTAGCCCACGCTTATTTGTCATCGTGGCCGATATGTCTTTGTATTTTTATTTTATTTTTTTTTGAATCAACACGCACTTTCAGATACTTCTATTATTGTTTTTAATTTTCGTAAGTCTGTATTTGCTTTGGAGGAAAGAATAAAAACTTAGTATAAAATGAAGTGGATCAAGATGGTGGAACAAAAAGGAAAAAAAGCAGAAAACATTTCAATATATTAAAATGATTTTTTTTTCCAGTAATATAAAACACGAAATTCCTTATAACATTATAGTATTTTACAGTTTTATGAAGCTTTCTATTGTGACTTTTATGGAATCAAAAGATGAAGATGATGAGATATTTTAGCATTTATATTTTTCAAAATTAAATGTATACTGAAAATAAAGTAACTTTATGCATTTATGGGAGAGCGCGTGTGTTCGTTTTTCCTCGTTATATACTCAGTCTTGTTTGATTGAATCGAGATCCCTGTATCGCTGTTGTAATCGCTATTTCCAAGGGAAGATGCTCCAGGGGAAGAGGCGGCTTAGGAAAGGTCCCACAAATACATGTGAAAAATGCAGGGAAAGGCTCTTAACAAACCATAGAGGAGTTCAGGATGTGTGGCTGTAACACTGAGGTTTAATGATAGAAGTACTCTCTCTTGAGATAATATATTGAAGCTTTCGGGGGAGCAAAATAGAACTTGTTCACAAATAAAGGTAGCGAGACCCCAGTCCCACCTCCCTAAGTCAGTGGGCACGAGGCAGTAACAGAAGGCGGCAGCCAGGTACGAATCCAGCCCCACTGCAGCTTTTTTTTGTGGGGGTCCTTTTTCAGCCCGTTCCTTGCTGGGCACCACATCGGCAGCAGAGCATGAGCAGAAAGGTGCTTGGGGTGGGGGGGGGGTCCCCAAGACCCTGGCGATGGAGCGAGGGCAGCCTCGCCGACCCCCCCGAAGATTGTTTTGAGATGTGGAGAAGGCTCTCGAGGGGCTCAATGCCGCAGGACCCCGAGTCGAACCGGGGATTAGACAAGATTGTGGAAAAAGGGTCCGGTAACAGGGGTGTGCCCCCTCGCACCCCAAACCCAGGGATCGTGGTGGCCGTGGTGGTACCCCACCGTGGTCCCGCGGGGCTCCCCAGCACCCCCAGATCCACATCCTCCGGGGGCAACAGGGAGGGATGCTCACCGGCTGCCATAGGTGTACGAGGATAACTTCTGGTGACAGCTAGCAAAACAAAGAGCAGGTTGGAAAACGATGAAGACCATTAGAGAAACCCTCGGCTAATTTTTCAGCAGACCGTGGTGGGAAAGGGGCGAGCCCCCGTCAGCTCGCACATTTGGGGGGGCTGTGCATGGGAGCAGGGCTACCCCCGGGGCCGTCTGAACCCCTTCATCCTTTCACGCGGGTTTTTCTCGTTATCCACTGGGCAATTCCCTTGTGTGACACCGCGATGCTGAAGCGTGTGAGCTAACGCACGCTCGGCCCTGCAACATCCCTGTGGCGTTGGGGTGGTCCTTCCTGTTAAAGAATTTACGAACGTGGGTTTCTCTAGGTTTGCTTTATTCGCAACTCAGCGTTGGGCCAGCACCGCAGTGAATGGCACACTTCCAAAAGTTTCCAAACCTTATATACACTTTTGCCACCCATTGTCCCAATCCAAAGTCTCTGTAATTTCCCAGCCAATGTCTCTGTAATTTTCCAGCCGATTCTGTGTTCTCATATAGTTATCATCCATCATCTTATCTCATCCATTCTCCATTCTCATGTCTCGGTTCTTCTGGGATTGGTGGTCACAGGCAGAAAGTCTCCAGTCACCATCATCACTTATCTTCTTACACTTCAAAGGTACCTATGAATTTCTAAAGAAACTACTCAGGTTATTTTATTAATTTATCTTATTCTAAAGTTAACCACTTACTCCCACGTCTCAGGTTTAAGGTGTATGATCTTTCCTCTGTTGATGCAGCTCGACTGGCTTTTAAGCCAGCCG